TATAGATCCTTTACCTCTTTGGTTAGGTTTATTCCTAGGTATCTTATGCTTTTGGGTGCAATTGTAAATGGGATTGACTCCTTAATTTCTCTTTCTTCAGTCTCATTGTTAGTGTAGAGAAATGCCATTGATTTCTGGGCATTGATTTTGTATTCTGCCACGCTACCAAATTGCTGTATGAGTTCTAGCAATCTTGGGGTGGAGACTTTTGGGTTTTCTATGTAGAGTATCATGTCATCGGCGAAGAGGGAGAGTTTGACTTCTTTGCCAATTTGAATGCCTTTAATGTCTTTTTGTTGTCTGATTGCTGAGGCTAGGACTTCCAGTCCTATGTTGAACAGCAGTGGTGAGAGTGGACATCCCTGTCTTGTTCCTGATCTTAGGGGAAAGGCTCCCAGTGCTTCCCCATTGAGAATGATATTTGCTGTGGGCTTTTCGTAGATGGCTTTTAAGATGATTGACAGAATTTTGATCCTGCACACCATTTGGGAAGAATAGACCTTTTAACGATGAGCTTTTTGATTTGTAAATATGGTATATCACTTATTTGGAACTTTGCTTTCTCTCATCAAGATTTTGCATACAGTTCTGGTCCCTTCCTGAGACTGCCTTTGAAGAGGCATCAAAAGGCTGTATACCTCATTTGTGTGTCAGGCATCTCAACCCAATTTGTTTCTTCTTGGCCCCTTGTCACACCTTCCCTGGAAGATGCTCCTTTCAATCTTCCATTGAAGTAAATGGCATTTCCCCTACCTACTGGCTCACGTTAGAAAATGGCGTAACCCTTGAAACCATCCTGATCCCCTCTCCCCGCAGCTAGGAATAACCCTGCCTCCAAAACACATTTTGAATCATCTGTTTCTTTCCTTCTGCATTCTACATCCTTGCCTCAGATACCCCAGCTCCCACCTGGATCACTGCAGTCACTCCCCAATTGTTCTTACTTCTATTTTTCCCCCACACAAGTGCTCTCTTCCCCTCGTCAGAGTGCTCTCTTCATAATGTCCATCTGATCATTTTACTGCTCTGCTTAAAACCCACCAGAGGTGACAACTGCCCTTATAATAAAATCCACTTCCCTTCCAGGGGCTTTGATTACTCCCTCATTCAACTTGTTTCAAACACACTGACCTGCTTGGGGCCCTTGTAGGGCCAAACTCTTTCTAACTAGGGCTGTTGCACGTCTTTCCCTGTCCAGAGTATTCTCTCCACAGTCCTTGCCTGAACCTCTCCCAATCAGTTTTGAGTTTTATTTTAGATGTCATCTTCTCCGAAAAGCCCCATTATTCCCTCTCGCATCACTCTCTGTTTTTTTTCTCTTTACATTTGTAATGTAGTCTGTTTGCTTTTTCTCCAAACAGGCCAGATTTCTCATTCATTTCACAGATATTGAAATGAGGCTGTTTGAGGGCCCTGTGGTGGAAATTCCAGATGTCATTGATCCTCCTTGGCAGAGTTTGCTGGAACCTGAAGTTGGAGAGCCTCCCCTCGCTCTCGGCTGGGCCAGCACACCTAGTACGCTGTACATTTGTTTGTCCCTCTGTGGGAGTGGGGGCACAGCCTGGGGTTTCTCATGGGGGGGAGTTACTCCCCACTAAGACCTGGGAGAGGCCCAGAGAATAGGAGGGGGCAGGAGTCTCTCCTAGTTCAATCCTCCCCTGCCAGCCCCCAACTCAGCCTGACCAGGGTCTTCTACCTGTGTCCTACTGGCTGAGCCCTCAGACATGCCTTGGCCCTATTTCCTCTCTTAAGGTCCCAGGCCCCTGACATTCACTTTAGAGGTCAGCGTGAGCATGGTGGGCACCCTGATTTGGTGGGGGCGAGGCCATGTTATCCAGTGCCCTTCAGTGAACCCAGCAAGGGTTCAAGTCTTCCTCGTCTGCGGGGGCAGAAACCACACACCCAGCCAGAGATTGTGATGTCCAGGTCCAGCACTCATTCTGGGCACTTGGCTCTTCCCATTGGTCCCTAGAAGGGAAGCAGCTGCCAGGCACCTTGACTCCCCTCCCCCAGGTTAAGGGTCAGTACAGAATGGTGGCTTCTGAGGGTCCAGAGCTGAGAGAGGCAGGGAGAGTCTGTACAGGCAGTGGGCCACGTGGAGGGCAGGGGTAACTAGTGATATGGGGATGCCAGGCGAGTGGTCAAGAAAGAATTCCTGAGACATTTTCAATGCAAAAAGTTTCTTTTATTATAGCACAGGGACAGGACCTCTGGGCAGAAAGAGGTGCACCTGTGACTGTGAGGAGTGAGGGGTTGGAGATAGCACAGGTCTCTAAGGAATTTGGAAGCAAAGTTTCCAAGACCTTGAGGGCTACCTATTGCTAAGAAAAGGCTATTCTCTACCGTCTAGTAAAACATTACTCCTGAGACCCTGCAGATGTAGATTGGTGGACCATATACTGAAAGAAAATTGTTACCATGTATCCTGGGGTCACCACACCACTACGGGGAGGGGCGAGTTTGTGTCTGGGGTGGTCGGTCCGGCCAGCTGTGGTGGGTGAGGAGAGGGCTGAGGGACCCGGCCTGGAGGGGTGGGGGTCGTGTACATGGGTGTGTCACAACTCCATCCTTTCCATGAGACCCCATGGTGCCCCCAAAGATGCTCTTCTCTCTGGAGGGTCTGGCGTTCTCTGCACAAGGACCTCTGGAAATCGCTTGCAGGCTGCTGCGCCATCCAGCCAGTCCACAGCAGATGTCAGTGGAGGTGGTCCCCGCAAGCCCAGCCTCCTGCCTGGGGCCCAGGGTGGGTCTCCCATCATCCTCCCCTGCTGCCCGAGCCCAGCAGACCCATGGAGGTGTCCAGACCAGACAGCTGGCACTGTGCCTCCTTTGCTCCCTGCTGAAAGCGCCCCTGCCTTCCGGCTCAGTGACCCCAGGCTCAGGCTCCATTTCTGTGAGATGAACTTGCTGAAAATACCTAACCCTTGGGGTTTAAGTCCTAAGCAAGACACTCTGTGCAAAGTTGCTTAGTACTTAGTCCTGGCTTACAAGCCTCACACCCTTCTGACCCTTACTATATACTCAATGAGAAAAGGGAGCCTCAGAGACATTGAACTGCTGGGGGTCTCACAGGCAGGGAGTGGCCCCTGGAATCCAAGCTGGGGGGGGGGTCCAAAGCCCAAGCCTTATCTCAGATTATGGCAGAGGGCACGTCCCAGATGCCTGGTGGGAGTAAGGGGGTTGGATCAGTCCTGTCCCCTTGGGCAAGTCATCTCTCTGTCTCTCAGGCCTCAGTTGCCATATGTGTTGGATGAACAAAGAACATTATTTCCAAGGTTGGGGGCTGAGAAGGGGCCTGGCCCAGGGCTCTCTGGGGCCGTGTGCTGTGGTGCCTCAACTCCGCTTGCCCAGCTGGGCCCTTCAGTGCTGCTGCTGCTGGAACATGGGGCTAGCCAGTGGGGGGCAGGCCAGCTGTGGAGACTTCTTGGCACCTGATGTTTGGGGCTTCATGTACTACAAGGACCAGGCTGGCTGTGGCTCTTTGAGTTTGTGCAAGATGGACTCGAATCCGGGGGAGCTCTCTCTGACTCCCAAGATGGGCAAGTGGCCCAGGAGGGGAGTCAGGTTCAGGCCAGGGATCCTTCAGAGCTCCCTCCTTTGTCTCATAAACATTCCCTTCCTAGAGAAATGAGGGTTCCTGGGGGAGCCCCCCAAGGCCTCCTCTGAGGCCCTGTAAGCCCTATTGTCCCCACACCCTTGTCCCTGGTCCTGACATGGTCCTAAGGCAGCTGGGCCCTGATCTACTCCCTCCCTCACTGACCTCTCCCTGACTCTCTTGAGGGACCTCCACAAACCCTCACCAGTCTCTTCAGGCCCCAGCCCTGCAGGGACCCAGCTGCACAGGACAGTGCTGAGGCCTTCTGAGAGGAGGGGGATGATCACTGGCTGAGGAAGACAGGCCCTCACTCTGCCAGGCCTATCCTCTCCCCAATGCTGTGTAGAGCTGGTAGCTGAATGGGGCTGGATCTTGGAGAGGCTGCATTAGAGCATACCTAGAATAGTAAACTGGGTTTCTGGAAGGTTCTGTGGTTAGACATGGGCTGTGGGCAGGCCCTCCTTCAGCCAGGCAGAGGGGGTGGCTCCTGGCTTGGCAGGTGGCACTGCCTGGGATTGTCCCCTCCCCCTGCCAGTATTCTTCCTGGCTGGGGTGCGGCCTGAGCCTGGCTCCAGGACTGTTCTGCCCCCTGCCACCCAGAACCTGCTAGGTTCCTGTGGAGACTTGCAGCCCACAGAGCTCGCACCACATTCTCACATGGCAAAAATGTGATAAGGTGCAGGCTGCTGGGCCTGTTTACCAGAGGAGGACTGGCTCCCAGATGGGAAGATCAGTGGGTAGGGGAGTGTGTGTTCAGTCCCTGTGTTGCCTGGGCCGCTACCTATGCCCCGAGCAACCAGTGGGGAATGGTGCTGGTGCCCTCAAAATGAGGGGGGCTGGAGGAAGCTGCTGTGGGCAGATTTGAGGTGGGCCTCCCACCTGTGAATTCTGTGGAAGGCAGGCGTCAGGACCCCATCTGCAAACCATCTCAGAGAGCCCAACACAGGGATGCCAGGTCAGCCTGAAGGGGCTTTTCTTGGGTTGGTGCCCCCGGAGCCCTTGCTGCTGCCCTAGGACATGGTAAGATATAAGTATGGATCACCCTGCCATCAGCCCCCCAGTCTTGTCTTCCCAGCCTCTGGTGTCTCTCAGCAAGGTCTACGGGCCAGGAACACCCCTTGTCCAGGGTGGGGGGTGGGCAGGCCCAGAGATCGCCCATGCATGGCCCTATCCCCATCCTAGTCTAACCTGGCTCTTGCCTCCCAGGGTTGAAACTATCTCTAACTTCTTAACCTGTAAAGAAAAGGTCCAGCTGAGGCCCCAGTCAGAAGCCACTTTTTTTTTTTTTTTTTTTTTTTTTTTTTACTTATCAACATCACCTATGGGGGCTGGGAACTTGAAAACAGGAAACAACCTGTGATGGGATTTTGTCACCTCACATAGATACACATGTGCCCACACGTGCACACATGCTGACCACATCCTCTGCCTGCAAAAAGGGGGCCTTGGCTGGTATGTGTGGAGACACTCATATAGTCCTAAGATAAAATAAGTTGTGCAAAGATGATGGGCGCCCAGGACAGACGCTCAACAGAAGGGGGACCCAGAGGCCTGAGAGGAGAGGAAACCCAAGCAGATTTGGGGTCCCTCTCATTGGACTCCTAAATGGCCCTCCATGGCTCCATGCCCAGACTTGGGGAAAGGGACAAGATTGGGGCTGGCTTGGAAAGGCCACTCTCCCGCCTGAGCATAAAGTCCATTCTCCATGGAGATGAAACTGTTGCGAGCAGAGGCTGGCAGGGGGGCCCAGTGGGCAGGTGGCTGGCGTGGGTATGCTGTGTGGGCGGGCAGCGCTGCCCACTGGGACAGTGGTGGGGGCCGGAGGGCCATGTCCAGAGTTGCCGGGCAGTAGCAGTTGTTGGTGCTGACGGTGGCGTGGGGGACATGGAGAGAGACCAGGGAGGCTTGGCCAGTCACCTGCAGGGATGATGGGGAAGTTAAGCCCTTCCTCACAGCTCTAGCCTACTCTGCCCCCCACTCTAAAACAGTCCCCCAGTCCTCACCCTTGCTCGCGTCTGTGTCTGGGGGCCGGTGAGGAGTGGCTGAACCTTCGTGACAGACCTGGGAGTGTCAGGAGGGTTAGAAACAAAGCATGTAGCTAGCCTGCTGGTTTGGGGGTTTAGACTGGGCCCAGCAGGGGTTGGTTCTCACCAGTGCCTCTGGCGACGCAGAAGGTGGAGGAGGTAGACACAGCCAAAGAGGAGGACCCCTGACACCCCCAGGATCCCGGCCAGGTCAGCCCGCAGTATGGGAGCTGGAGTAGGGGCAGGGAGCCCTGTGTATAGAGAAAGAGGCATACCAGACGGGTGGCTGGTGCCCTGCCGCCCTCCCTGCCCTCCCCAGCCCTCATTAGCTTCACCTTGGTTCGTGTTGAGGAAGGGGTTCCCACAGGCCTCCTGGGAGCCCTCTGGGAAGGAAACAAACTTGCAGCAGAAGGTGGTGTTGGGACTGGGGCTTCTCCCCTCAGACCCTCCTTCCAGGGTGAGGGAGATGCTGGTTTTGGTTTCCCAGTGGGCCTGGTGGGTAGGGGACCACTGCTGGATGCCAAATTCTGGGTGTAAAACAGCCAGCCTAGTCCCTCCGGCACCATCGGGCCCCCCCGAGCTCACAGTCACCAGGGAGACAGAGCCAGATCCCAGGAATCCACAGCGGACAGTGAAGGACGGGGACTTGGCGGCCTCCATCTGAACTTGAACCCATACTTCAGGGGTCCCTGTGGGATATAGGCATAGGAGGGCCCCAGGGCTGGGTCATCACCTTGCCCCCATGTCTTCTGCTTCTCTCCCGCCCCCAACTCACCAGCAGTGATGCAGAGCGTCAGCAGCGCCAAGAGCAGGACCAGGGCCCGGGGCCTGTCCATGGCTTCCCTCTGGCCCCAGCTCTGGGAGATGTCGTGCTGGGGACAGCACCTGTGTTTCCGGTCTCATCACAGGAAGTTTTCATGTACAGCAAGCCTGGGGCGCAGCCGGCCGTGTTTTCTGCACTCCTGCCCCACTTCCTTCTCTGTCTGCCTCAGCTTGGTGAATGCAGGGCAATGGACCCCCTTCCCCAGAGACTTAAAGCAACAGTGACCAGGTTTTATCCAAGGCTGTGCTGCACGTGAGCGGGGCAGTGGGCTCAGGTTCCTTTCCCAGCCCTGTCTCCATGTAACCACCTGGGCAGGGCAGGCCCTGGAAGTACGAGGGGTCCCTGGTTTCTCCTCAGGAAGAAGCCTCTGAGCCCTACCGCCCAGCTAAGGGAGTTGGGAAGAGGAAGACCCTTAGCAGGAAAGCCAGCGGGGGGCTGAGAGCCTTGCCCAGCTTGACCCGTCACTTACCTGCTGATCTCTCTAGCCCAGGCCTCCCTCCTGAACTGCGGCCTCACTGTGATCAGCTGCCCACTTAACACTCTCTTGGGTGCCCGTTACGAACGTGCCCCAAACTGAACTCTGCCATCTGCTGCCTCCCCACCAACAGCTGAGGGCAAGGGGCTTTCAGTAGCTTCGGCCAAAGGCATAGTCAGTCATCTGTGGCTCTTCTCTTTCATCTCCAGCCCATTAGGAAAGCCCAAGGGCTTCCCATCCTGACCACCTGAGCCCCTTGTCCCACTCCTCCTGCCACTTCCCTCATTCAAGCCATCTCTTTCCACGAAGTATTATTCCAAATTGTTTAAAAAAAAGATTTTATTCATGAGACTCACACACACACACACACACACACACACACAGAGAGAGAGAGAGAGAGAGAGAGAGAGAGAGAGAGAGAGAGGCAGAGACACAGGCAGGGGGAGAAGCAGGATCCATGCAGGGAGCCGGACATGGGTTTTGATCCCGGGACTCCAGGACTACGCCCTGGGCCAAAGGCAGGCGCTAAACATTGAGCCACCCAGGGACCCCTCCAAATTGCTTTCTTGCCTATGTTCATTTATAGAACAACCAGAATGCTGCTGTAATCAGAATGCTTTGCATCTTGTCCTATCCTATGCCAAGCTTGAGTCCGGGATGAGAGGAGCATGATGAGAGTCAAGGGCCTATGCTGAGGACTCTTGTCCAAGGTGTGGTGAGAACTGAGATGTGGCCCCGCCCCAGAGCTGTGTTCGTCTGAGGCCTGCCTTGTCCTTGTGTCCATTTCTGTGTGTTTAATCTTCTGTTAATCAAAAACCAATCAGTGCTCTCCTGGGCAGACTCTCTCATCCCATCCATACCTGAAAACCTAGAAAAGCAGGCCCTCCAGGTCAATCACTTCACCGCTCCCAGCCCAGGGAGCATCCTCTCAACCCTGTGACTCAGGCCCAACTGTACCAATCTCCAACCATAGACCTGCTCTCACCACTTCCTCCACTACTGTTCCCGACAGGGTGGGCACCCACCTCAGTGTGGATGCAGAGCACTGGGGCATATGCAACTTTAGCCTCCCTAGCCTAGAAGCCCTTTTTCTCACCCACTGAAATCCTCCTCACTTTGCAAGGCCCTGCTCAAATCTCACCACCTCCAGGAAGTGGTCCCTGAGTGAACATTTCCTTCTTGAACAACCACTGCACAGATGGTGGGTCCTGGGCATTGGCTGCCTGTGGGCCAGTCATCCCAGGCTGACTCTAAGCCCTGGAGGAAGGGCTGTCTTTCTGAGCCCAAGCATCCAAGGGGGGAGCTCAATACTTGGTTGATGGGACAAAAAGCAATTGCACAGCTACTCACAAACATCTTCCATTTTGCCTTATGAACCACACTGTCCCCTAAGTTCTCGTTGTAGACAATTTAAAACAGAAAACATCAAACTTCTACCCCCATTCCCCTCCCCATTTTTTCATGAGGTTCAGACTATCAATATTTTTTTTTATTTTTTTTATAAATTAATTTTTATTGGTGTTCAATTTACCAACATACAGAATAACACCCAGTGCTCATCCCGTCAAGTGTCCCCCTCCGTGCCCGTCACCCATTCACCCCCACCCCCCGCCCTCCTCCCCTTCCACCACCCCTAGTTCATTTCCCAGAGTTAGAAGTCTTTATGTTCTGTGTCCCTTTCTGATATCTCCCACACATTTCTTCTCCCTTCCCTTATATTCCCCTTCACTATTATTCATATTCCCCAAATAAGTGAGAACATACACTGTTTGTCCTTCTCCGATTGACTTACTTCACTCAGCATAATACCCTCCAGTTCCATCCACGTTGAAGCAAATGGTGGGTATTTGTTGTTTCTAATGGCTGAGTAATATTCCATTGTATACATAAACCACATCTTCTTTATCCATTCATCTTTCGATGGGCACCGAGGCTCCTTCCACAGTTTGGCTATTGTGGACATGGCTGCTAGAAACATCGGGGTGCAGGTGCCCCGGCGTTTCATTGCATCTGAATCTTCGGGGTAAATCCCTAACAGTGCAATTGCTGGGTCGTAGGGCAGGTCTATTTTTAACTCTTTGAGGAACCTCCACACAGTTTTCCAGAGTGGCTGCACCAGTTCACATTCCCACCAACAGTGTAAGAGGGTTCCCTTTTCTCCGCATCCTCTCCAACATTTGTTGTTTCCTGCCTTGTTAATTTTCCCCATTCTCACTGGTGTGAGGTGGTATCTCATTGTGGTTTTGATTTGTATTTCCCTGATGGCAAGTGATGCAGAGCATTTTCTCATGTGCATGTTGGCCATGTCAGACTATCAATATTTTATTTCTGGATTTTGTGCATTGCTTAGGAAGACCAAATTATAAAAATAACATTTGTAAATTTTGTTTTTATCTCAAACTCTTCTATGAAGAGTTTCCTTTTAGTCCCTAAAAAATTTAATTTGGGGATGGCATAAAATAGTGTAACCTTTCAGGTACAGAGCCAATGTCCCCAGAGTCTCTGCCTGCTGTTTTGAAATGCCATCTTGATCATAAATTCTTTTACAAATGACCTACTTCTGGATTTTCTTTCCTAATCTGTTGATTCATTTGCTTACTCTGGTTTCCATACTACATGATCCTAAGTAGAATGCTTTTGTTTTGATGTAATGACCTTCCCCTTTCTCAGAAACTTCTTAGCTATTCCTGAATCGTCTCCAGAATTTTGAGCTCTAGAGACACCAAAAGTCATTAAACCTACTAACAAAAGCCCTGTATCATCAGGCCTGCATTGCCGGTCCTCTTCCCTTTTTGGCCCAGAGGCACACATTAGATGACACAGGTCTGATAACGGCCACTTCCAGCTCTGACTTCTCTTCGTGAGATCCCTGCAGCCACGCACAGCTCACGTCCTGCTGCAGCAGTAATATCCCCATCATCAAGTTCTAGAATTAGGCCCATGAGGGTTGAATTGGTGCCACAATTTCCTAGCTCTGCAAGCTTTGACAACACAACCTAATCTCCCAAAGCAGCAGTATCCCAACGAGGATTATACTCCACTTCACAGCAGAGTAGCACTCTGCTCATGCCTGGCTCAAGCCTTCAGTGAATGTTGGTGACCATATTTTTTTAAAGTGATCTCCATCCACACCCATCTCACAACCCCGAGATCAAGAGTTGCACGCTCCCCTGACTGAGCCAGCCAGGTGCCCCCAGTGACCATCATTTTATAAAAGACCTTCCTCATCTAAGTTTGTAGAGTAAGACTCATAACTGATCCATTTATTTTCACAAATATTTTAAATGTGTGAAAAGGCCATTTATGCTCTATCAAGGTAATATAAACGAGAAGTAACACCAAAGCATACACTATGCGCTAAATTTGCTCTGAGCAAGTCACACATATCAGCTCTGTACTTACAGACCTTATGAGGAACTAACTTGGCCAGGGTCACAAGGCTAGTACACAGTGAAGCAAGGACTGGACACAAATTTTAGTTTCAGAACCCACATTATTAGCAACTATGCTGAGCTGCCTTTCCCATACATGTAAAGATTTTAAACTACAAGGTTTTTATCAAAGTCCAGCAGTTCTCTGTTCCATCCCTGGAGAACCTTTGCTTGGTTCAGAGGCTGGGCTTGCTCCCCATTCCCGGATGGAAGTGGCCCTGTGCCAACAGGAGAGGCTTTGTTCTTCGGCTGCTGCTACCCTACTCAATCCCTTTGGTGGCTCTCACCTACTGAGCTAAAGTAGATGTGTTTTCCTTCCAGTTTCCCCAGGATTCTGGGCTTCTCTGCTGTGCAGAGCTCTTCTCTAGTATCCCAGGCTTCATCTGGCACGTTGGCCACCCTGTTCCTATCTGCCTATCCTCCTTCAGTGCTGATTTCTCCGCCATTCCAATTCAACACCCAGGACTCCCTGGGAATGTGTGTTTGAGAAAGACTTGTTTTGTGGGCCCTTTCCAGATCTTCTGTTCCACCCTACCCCAGGAAATCAACTATGGAGCTCAAGGAGACTTTAAAATGTTTACGTGTGAAAACAAACCTTCTGCCATCCCACTACCTTATCCTTTCACACTGTCCAAGTACAGACTTTCTATCCCATATCATCCCCAGTCAGTGCTGCCTGGAATTCAAACACACAGGATGACTTACCTTTAAGCTGAAGACTGTTCTTAGCAATCTGAAAAAGAATCTCTTCACTTGATAATTTACGGAAGAACACCAACAACTCACCTTCTGGCAGTGCTCATGGCCACAAGCATTAAAAAAGAAAAAGCCTTAATTGAAGATTATTTAAAATAACTTAAAAGCTATTATTCAGGGTGCCTGGATGGCTCAGCTCAGGTCATGGGAACCCTATAGTCTGCTTCTACTCCTTCCTCCTTTCCTTCCAGCGGTGCATACGTGTGTGTGTGTGTGTGTGTGTGTGTGCCTATTATTCAGCAGTAAGCTAACAGGCAATGCAGAGCAGTGCCAGTCCCCTGAAAAGCACTGGTTGGTGTCACTTGTGAAGCCAGCTAAGGTCAGGCTGTGCAGCCACTTCCACCTCTCTGATGCAAGCTGGCCTCCATTTAGTTCCAGCTTGGCTGGGGCCTGGCCACTTAGGACTCCTGCTCTGAATCCCACAGCCCCACCTCTGTTAGCAAGAGATTTACTGGCACGTAGTTTCCAAGGTAGGGTGCTTGCACCTCAGACAGTACACAAAATATCCACTGCTGTCATGCAGGACAAATGAACATTTCTCATTTTTAAAGATAAAAATACAATGGAAGTTAACTTTTATTACCACTAAGTGACACTGGTGCCCTCACACGGATCCAAATGTTCACCTCTAATCACATCAGCATCCTGATATAAGAAATGCAAACCCAAAGCTTATTATGGACTATAATCTACATGCTATAAGATGTGGCAGTTTTGTGGCCCTAAACAATGTGTATCCCCTCTAAGAACATTGTCACTGGACTTAGAAATCATTTTCTGACCTGTTTACAAGTCTCCCAAATGAAAAATTTCAGTAGGTTTTGGCTCATCTATTAAAAGCAGTAAATGAGGCAAAAGAAACACCCATTCCATTTGGATTTACAGGTTTGGAGAAGTACTCTGTTCAGTGATGTAGAACATAAAAAAGAATTATCAAAATAAACTGAACTTTCAACAAGAACCTCAGAAAAGGTTTAACCAAAGGTTAAAAGATGTTTCTTACTTTGCTATTTTTTTTAGAGCAAATAGGCATTCTGTACTGTTAATTTTTTTAATAAATTAATTTTTATTGGTGTTCAATTTACCAACATACAGAATAACACCCAGTGCTCATCCCGTCAAGTGTCCCCCTCAGTGCCCGTCACCCATTCACCCCCACCCCCTGCCCTCCTCCCCTTCCACTACCCCTAGTTCATTTCCCAGAGTTAGAAGTCTTTATGTACTGTCTCCCTTTGATATTTCCCACACATTTCTTCTCCCTTCCCTTATATTCCCTTTCACTATTATTTATATTCCCCAAATGAATGAGAACATACACTGTTTGTCCTTCTCCGATTGACTTACTTCACTCAGCTCTGTACTGTTAATTTTTTTTCTTTTTTCTTTTTTTTTTTTAAGATTTATTTATTTATTTATTTATGATAGAGAGAGAGGCAGAGACACAGGAGGAGGGAGAAGCAGGCTCCATGCAGGGAGCCCCACATGGGATTCGATCCCGGGACTCCAGGATCGCGCCCTGGGCCAAAGGCAGGCTCTAAACCGCTGAGCCACCCAGGGATCCCTGTACTGTTGATTAATAAAATATTTCAAAATAGGGGTGCCTGGGTGGCTCAGTAGGTTGAGTGTGTCTGCCTTCGGCTCATCAGGTCATGATCTTAGGGCCCAGGGATTGAGGCCTGCATCAGGCTCCCTGCTCAGCAGAGAGCCTGCTTGTCATTCTCCTGCTGCTACTACCCCCGCTTGCGCTAATAAATAAAATCTTAAGAAAAATATCTCAAAACACTTATTTCATTAACTCACCCGCTCCTTTTTTTTGTTTTGTTTTGAGAGCGAGCAAGCTTGAATACTTATGGTGTGAGGGGGTGGGGGTGGAGGGAAGGGCACAGGGAGAGGGAGGATCTTAAGCAGGCTTCATGCTTAGCGCAGAGCCTGATGCAGGGCTCGATCTTGTGACCCTGAGATCATGACCTGAGCTGAAACTGAGAGTCAACACTTAGCTGACTGAGCCACCCAGGTGCCCCTCTTTTTAATGTGTACAATAGATTTAAAAAATTATATAAACTTCTACCACTAGTTTTTAACTGACATGCCCAAACTTTTGGAAGTCTTATGAACCTGAGATTCTGTTTTAGTTACTAGTCCTAACAAACCGCCCTAAATTTTGTTGTTCTTAGAGATTTTATGAGCATATTTTTTTGTGCTCATAGATTCTATAGGTCAGAAATTTGGAAAAGGCACAGAAAAGATGGGTCTTGGGGCCTTAGCTGGATGACTCAAAAGGTAAGTGTTAAAATCATCTGATTCATATCTGAAGCACATCTGGTGGTCAAGCAATCATAGAGCCCATATTCCAGGGGAGTGGACCTAGACCCACCTTCTCCCCTAAAGAGTGTCAAAGAATTTGGGGAGCATGATCTTGCACACATTCTAACGCTGGGGCTCAATTCACCACACTGGACTACCCGGATGCATAAGGATCTCCATATTTACAGAGCTGCCAAGTTTCTCTCTTCATCTTGTGAAGCACCCTCAGCATGCCTGGTAGTGGAATAACATGGGGATCTTCCTCCTCCTGGATCCTCAGTGACCTCCACATCTTCACCGGTTTTTCCACTCTATTCCCAGACCCCAGGGGAAGGGCTCCTCTCTGTTGTAGCTGCTCCCTCTGAATGCAGATTCAGAATCTCTGAATGCATCAGCTGCCTTTCCAAACAGAGACTCCTAAACCCAACTTTCAGCTTCTATCTGGGGGAGAGGGTACTGGAGAGGAAGACAGGAGGATAAAGAAATGGGTTTGGCTGACTGACCAGATCAAAGGAAGTCAGGGTTTCTTCTGCATAGATCACCAGCTAACTGGCCATATCCAGCTTGGGAGACCACAGTGAGAACCCGAAATTAAAGCAGATGCCCAGGACAGCAAAGAACTGATAATCCTATCTAAATGGAGGCTGAAGAGTTTAAACAAAGTAGAAAGTGACAAGAGTGTCTTCACATATCTGAATGCTCATTACAGGGCAAAGAAAGAGCAGGGGTGCTGTGCTTTTCCAAGAAGCAGAACAAAAACGAAAGAGAGTTCCAAGGAGGCAGGTTTCCAGAGCAGCCTAAGCGAGAGATGAGGGCAGCAATGAGGGAAGAGATGGACAGATGAGAGATTTTGCAGAAGGACTTGACAGGACTTGGTAAGGAATAGGTGGGGAAGGTAAGGATAAAAAAGGAAGCAGCATCAAAGCCTTGGATTTAGGGGCTGGACATTTTTTTTTTTTTAAATCTCAAATCTCTGTTACATATATATTTTTTAAATTTATGAGAGAGAGAGAGAGAGAGAGAGAGAGAGAGAGAGAGAGAGAGGCAGAGGCAGAGACATAGGCAGAGGGAGAAGCAGGCTCCATGCACCGGGAGCCCGACGTGGGATTCGATCCTGGGTCTTCAGGATCACGCCCTGGGCCAAAGGCAGGCGCCAAACCGCTGCGCCACCTAGGGATTCCTCGGGGCTGGACATTTTGAGTCACTTCTCTAAGTTTCCTCTTAACTCAGACACTGAGATTCTATACAATAACAAATTATAATAGGTCTTGGGGATGAAGTCATGAAATTCCCCTGGAAGAGCCCTTGGGTAAAGGCTGCCATGGTGGACGGCCTGTTCTCAATGTAGGTGAGATAGGCCCCCCTCCAGCCCATTAGGATTCTGCCCTCCTCAGTCTGAACTGTCCCCACTAGAGAAACCACTGGAAGACAGCCAGTGTTTTCCTAGTCCCTCTGCCCCAGCAGGCCTCCCAGTTACTAAGCATCCTTGAGCCAGTATACTAAAGCAGCTGCGAGCACGTGCAGCGCCGGCATGCATCTGTTTGCTGCACCATGGGGTCAGGCACAGCGGCTTAAGATGCTAGTGAAGAACCCGATGTGCATCAGTTTAACAATCTCGAGCCACACTCGTGAAACAGCTGCCTGAAACATGTTTATTGAGCTAATCACTAGGGTACAAAAGAAGCTGGGAAAGCTGTTCCAAAAATACAGGAAACTACTGGGTTCTTTCTATTCAGTACAGGGAGGCAGTGCCACTCCAGTACTGAGGTAAGGCTGCCACCTCCTCCAGACACAGCAGGAAAAAGGCATTCTCCACACAGGGACAGAGCCAGGAGTATGAGGAAGGTCAGGGGGCCTAAGGCTTCTCTATCCCAACATCATAGGAGAAACATTAGGTTAGAAAGGCACAGCCCACTCTCCTTCCCTTCAAAGACCAGGGTGGGGCCTGGAAGTAATGGTTCCTTCTTCTCTGTTCTCCTGTTTGCCTTTTCCCCGTTGAGGTGGGGAGTGGAAATGGGGAGGGGCATGGAGTCCTGTCAGAAATCCTGTAACGGGAAAGATGAAAACATGGAGACAGAACAACCCAAAGGGCAAAGAGATGATGGCAAGGTCCTCCAGGTGACCATTCTAGATCTCCTGCCCTCCCCCACCCTCCACCCCCACCCCCTACAACTACTCCTAAGGTTCCAAAGACAGCAGAGAGGGCAGGCCATGGGTTATGGCCTCCATCCACCTACTGCATAGTACACAGGTTACCTGTCAGCATTTCCCAAGGACACACAACCTCTCTTAACCTGCCTTCCAGTCTGTGTGGAGATACTTACCTCAAGGTTTAGCTCTGTAGAATCTAAGAGGTCCAGCCCGTGCTCACTGGGGGAAGTGTGCTAGAGAGAGCGGGTGAAAGTCAGATGGGCCCTTCTCACCTTCCCACCCATTACGTGGCAAACAATAAACAAGGGCCCTTTCTGAGGCAGCTCCCTGCAGCAGTGAGGGTGGGGGGCATGAGCCAAGGTGTGGTGGGCAGAAGGTTCAGAGCTAGAGGTGCCTCCTCTCCTGGGTTGCCACCCAAGTCCCTTAAATTTGTTCCGTTTGGAACCACAGAGTGCATTTTTCCTGAGGGAGGTTTAGGAAAAACTATTTTAATAGTGGCCTTGCTCTCTAATCTGTTTCAAGACCTGTTTTTTGTTTTTTGTTTTCCTTCCGAGTACCGGACTTCCGTTCCCCTGAACTATTCTGCCCTTTCTTCCCTCAGCAAACAGCAGAGAAGAGAGAAGAGTAACAGTAGCAGACACATAAAGAACCCTTCTCAGTGTGCAAGCTCCATTTGAAAGATGAAGTGGTTGAGCAGTCATGAGAAGCTAACTTGACAAAGTGATAGAGCTGAGGACTCAGGTCACCTCACAACTTCCTCGTGCTCCTACTGGCCTGGAGCCATTGGGGTGCGGCAGGACAGTGGGACCAGGGGACCTTCCATCATCTCTAGCTCTGGGACTCCTTTCAACTCTCGAACTCAGAGACAAAATACTTATATGGGGATTGAGAGGGAGCGTTATCTGAGTCCTTTGTGGTATTTTTGTTTTTCCTCCTTTTTTTTTTTTTTTTTAAAGAAGCCCAAGCAAATACAAAGGAACTTACAAATATTCTCCTTTACTCTGATTCTTTCACAAAATCCTAAGCAGCTTTCAGAGAAAGCATGTGGTCAGGACAACAGAGTAGAACTATTCTAGCTTCTATCTCATGGTTGCCTCTAGTTCTACAGGGAGAAGGGAATGTTGGGTCTGCTCACCTTGTCTGTTTCTTGCCATTCCTCACTTAACTCGTGAATTTCCAACTCTTCTTCATCCTCTTCCATGAGGCTGAGGCTGAGGGAAGTGGCAAAGAGTAAGGCTTTCATGGTGCTCTTTAAGGATGACCCCTGAGAGGCTCTGGGAAGCAGAAGGTGGAGCAGGCTCCAGGTTCCCACTGCTGTTTCAATCAGAGCAACTCTACTTCTACCAGTTCTATATGCTAGGGGCACGGGCACACATTATCCTGGAAAGAAGTGGTCTGTGATTTGAACAAGTCCAAAATGTATGGGCACAGAAGCAGTAGGTTAGTGGAGAACCCCTCCCAGTGGGTGCCAAATGTGAAGATGATGAGAAGCTCACCGGGTCAGCTGGTTGCCCAAACCAGGACCTGAAGGGTTGAGGAGAGTCTGGAAATGCTGTGGACTTGAGAACCTTGACCTCTGGTTGCCTGACAGGGGTTGGCTGTTGGGAATGAATAAGATCAGTGATGGGGATAAAAGTAAATAGTAAAAAGGGTAAGGTGAGTGATGTTACACAACAGGAAAGTGTACAAGGAGAAAGAAAATCTTAAGAAAATGGGAATGGTGTGAGGGAGAACCCGGGCACAATGGAGTGCTGCAGGACGAACAAGAGAGCAGAAATGGCAGGACGGAGACGGTGAGATGCCAAGACCAGCTGCCCAGAGCCGCCCTCAACCCTCACCCCTGGGTCAGCTCTGGTTCTGAGCGGCCTTCTTCCTCCACCTCTTCCAACCCCCTCAGGGGCTGCCTCCTCTTGATGGCTGTAGAGGTGAAGGTGGGTGTGGGTGGGATGCTGTTCAGCTGCAGGCTTTCTTCCTGAGACGAAGAGACATCCCCTCTCTGCTGCCTGGAGGGACCTGCAGAGAGACAGGTGTGCATATTCCCTACAGACCAGGTACTGTCACAGATGTTCCCTGTTTTCAAGACCTGTCCAGGGTTTGGTTAAGGAAAGTTGAAAAGAGAATGGAAAACCTATATGGCCTCATTGTGTTATGACTAAAAATGAGCATAACCCGACATACTAAAAAGTAAGGCTTACAGAAGGGTATCCAGGACTTGTTCAAGGATGATGAAAAAAAATCCCAACAAACTTAAAGTGGCAGTAGGAGCCCAGAAGCTATAAGAGTGGAAGCACGAGGCCTAGTGAGAACAGAAAAATTGGAGATGATTTTCTAAAAGCCAGGAAAATGAGATAACTGCAGTACCAGCGTGCCTCTGATCTGAAGGAGCAGCAGAGGACCCCCCCACCCAGTTCCCAGCATTAGTCTCTCCTGCAGAGACTCAAGAAGGCAGAAAAAGAGAAAGAATCCAAGGTTAACCCAGAAAACCCAAGTGACAGTATTTTCAAACTGATATTACTATTTTTAAACTGTAAATGTTCACACCCCTGTTACTCTCTGTCCCACAGCCATGTTTGCATCCTGTAACCAGTCACTGGAAAATGAACTGCTACTGGTCGAAGAGGACTAGAGAAAACCAGGAAGAGCTACTCATATAGACTTTGGGGCAGCTGGGTGGCTCAGCTGGTTAGGCATCCTACTCAACTTTGGCTCAGGTCATGATCTTGGGGTCATGAGATGGAGCTCTGTATCAGGTTCCATGCTCAATGGGCAGTCTGCTCATTGAGCTCATCCCTCCCTCTCTGCCCCCCTGTACCTGTATACACGCCTGTGTTCTCTAATATATAAATCCTTAAAAAAAAAAAAAAAGCCACACCCATGTCTTTGTATCCCCAGGGAGGACCAAGCTGGGCTCTCCTCCCCTCCTCAATGCATTCATGGCGTGATGCCCAAGGGCTCAACCCTTCAGCCTCTCCTATCCTCCATCTTCACTGGTTTCCTTAGCCACACAGCTTCCCATTTTTGAATACCAACTCCCAAATTTATCTCAAGCATCTGCCTCTCCCCCAGCTCCTATCCCCAGCTGTCCGTCCAGCACTTCCACCTGTGACAACGTGGCCAAAACTGGGGCTTCATTCTGCTTACTTATCACCTTCCCTATCTCAGTTGGTAGCAATGCCATCATCCCCAGTTGTTAGGCTAAAATCCTCTTTTTAGGCCAAATCAACCCTCAACTCCAGTCTTACATCCCACATCCAACTGGTCAAGAAATCCTATGAGTGATACCTTAGAAATATATCCAGGATCTGGCCACTTCTCACCAGCACCACCACTCCCCCAGGTCTACTCACTCCACAGCCTCCTTGCTGTTCCTTTGCTCCTGCCCTTGCCCCTCTACAGTCCATTCTCAACACAGCACCCAGGAGAAGCCTTTAAAAACATAAAAGAGATCCTGTTTTCCATTTCACTGCTGAGTAAAAGCCAGAGTCTGTACCCTGCCTCATAAGCTCTGCGCTCTTCCAAGCTCTCTAGTCTTCTATCCCACATACTCTCCCCATCTGCCATCTGACCTTCTCAGCTGTTCCCAGAACATGCCAGGTACATCCCCTGGGCACTGGTGCTCCTTTGGGGATGCTCTATGCTCTTCTATATACACCAGGCACCCCCGCTCCCTTCCTTGAGATCTTTGCCCAACACTCAAAGGCTCCACCAGGCCTCCCTCATCCCTCATGAGGAGACTGAAGCTCCTGCTTCCCCAGTGTTTGCTCACTTGCTTCCTGCTTTCCCACCAAGCACACATCACGACCTGCCACTCTCTAAAGAAGATAGATTTGTCTTTATTCGTGCACTGCTTTATTCCCAGCATATAGCGCTCAATGAATATCTGCTGAAAGGACAATGAAACCACTCTTTTCAGTCTTCTCCTACCTTTGCAAACCCTTTGTTAGGTAAACCATCCAAACTATACATCTACAAGCTTGGCTAGCACATACCTTCCTATGTTCTTCTAGTGCTACTCTACTAGTTCATGCTCCTCACTCTTCTTCTATTCAGCTTACATAAATCTTACCTGTTTTTCAAGCTCCGTTAAATTCCATCTTCCTGGTGAATCTTCATAAGCTTTGGATCAACTGGACTCAAAGTGATACCTTCCTTCCCTGCATTCTAAGGCACTCATCTGTCAATTCTTTAAATCCTCAGGAAGTTATCATTTACTGGTGACTATTCATAATTTAAATTTTCTTTAAATGTGTTTCCTCTCTCTCCCATTAGACAGTAAGCTGCTTGAGGATCCTTCCCAGCCTCTCAAACATCTAACACAGTATCATACACATAATAGGTCCTTAACAAGTATTAGTTAACTGATTAAAGCAGTTTCCTGGTGATATAAAAATACTCTTAAGTGGTATGCAAAAGACGTTAAAAAGAAGTTACACTCACACTCTACCTCACACCATATACATGAATTTACTCAAAATGGATGACAGACCTAAACCTAAGAGCTAAAACTAGAAACTTTTAGAAGAAAACACAGGTGTAAAAACTTCATGATCTTAGATTAGGTGATGATTTCTCAAGCTGACACCAAAGCACAAACAACAAAAGAGAAACTAAGTAATTTGGATTTCACCAAAATTAGGAAGCTCTGTTTCTAATTTCAAAGGCTACCAACAAGGAAATGAAAAAAACACCCACATGAATGGGAGAAAAATTCTGTATATCATATATCTGATATGAGACACTTGTATCCAGAGTATATAAAGAACTCCTACGACTCGTCAAGAAGACAAATAATCCAATTTAAAAATAAGCAAATGATTCGAATAGACATTTCTCCAAAAAAGATATACAAATGGTCAAAAAGCACATCAAAAAACGCTCAACATTAGTTATTAGGGAAACGCAAATTTTTTTTAATATTTTATTTTTAAAATTTTTTTTTAAAGATTTTATTTATTTTTTTAAGATTTTATTTATTCATTCATAGAGACACAGAGAGAGAGGCAGAGACACAGGCAGAGGGAGAAGCAGGCTCCACGCAGGGAGCCCAATGTGGGACTCGATCCAGGGTCTCCAGGATCACGCCCTGGGCTGCAGGCGGCGCCAAACCGCTGTACCACCGGGGCTGCCCGGGAAACGCAAATTTAAACCACAATGAGATACCACCTCATGATTGCTAGGAGATGGGGAAAGATAGGAAAGACAATAACCAGTGTTGTGAGGAATGTGGAAAAACTGGGGCCCTCATATTTTGGCGCTGGGACTGTAAATGATGCAGGAACTTTGGAAAACAGTTTGGTAGGAACTCGAAAAGTTAAACATAGAGTTACCATATGATCCAGCAATTTCACTCCTAGGTTTACCTCAAGAGAATTAAAAATATACGTACACACAAAAACGTGTATGTGAATGTCCACAGCGACAGTCAAAATGTGAAAGCAACCTTATGGAAGCAACCTAAGTGCCCCTCTATAGGTGAATGGATAAAGAGTGTATGTACACTGATACAATGGAACATGACTTAGCTTTCATTAAAGAGATCCTGCCATTTGTGACAACATGGATGGACCTAGAGAATCCCTGCTAAGTGAAATACCAGACACAGAAAGACAAATAATGATACAATTTTACTTATACATGGAATCTAAAGAACAAAACAAATGAAAAATCAGGAACAGACCCACAAATACAGAGAACTGGTGGTTGGCAGGGTGTAGGGGATGTGCAAAATGGATGAAGGGGAGTAAGGTATAGGCTTTCCAGCTATGAAATAAGTCGGAGGGATGAAAGGTACAGCACAGGAAAAACAGTCAGTGGTATTGTGATAGCCTATATGGTGACTGATGATCTCTATACTTATGGTGAGTACAGCATAACATATAGAGTTATCATATAGAGTTACAGAATCACTATGTTGTATACCTGTAACTAATGTAACATTGTATGTTACAACTATATTCCAATTAAAAAAAAGTGAAAACCACCCAGATGTCAATCAAGTGGCAAATGCATAAATAAAACATGGCATAGCTTTATAACAGAATATTACTTGGCCATAAGAAAGTATGAGGTACTGATATATGCTAAAACATGAATGAACCTTGAAAATATTCTGCTAAGTAAATGAAGGTAGCCATACAAGGCCCCATGTTGTAAGATTTCACTACATGCATATCTAGAGTAGGCAAATCCAGAAACAGGAAATAGATGAAAGATTCTGCCTAGGACTGGGGAACAGGGAGGAGGAGTAATTCAAAATGTTTCCTTGCAAACAAATGATAACACATCAAATTTGTGATTTTTAGGACATCATTACTTAAAATGAAACTGTATTTAAAAAGAAAATTTAAAAAAAAATCTTAGATTATAAAACAGGGGGATCCCTGGGTGGCGCAGCGGTTTGGCGCCTGCCTTTGGCCCAGGGCGCGATCCTGGAGACCCGGGATCGAATCCCACATCGGGCTCCCGGTGCATGGAGCCTGCTTCTCCCTCTGCCTATGTCTCTGCGCCTCTCTCTCTCTCTCTCTGTGACTATCATAAAAAAAAAAAAAGATTATAAGACAGGTTGTGATCTTGGGACTCCTGGGTGGCTCAGCAGTTGAGTGTCTGCGTTAACCCCAGGTCTGGGGATTGAGTCCCACATCTGGCTCCCTGCATGGAGCCTCCTTCTCCCTCTGCCTGTGTCTCTGCCTCTCTCTGTCTCTCATGAATGAATAAATAAAATCTTAAAAAAGAAAAAAAGGTTGTGATCTGAAAGTAAAATCATGAAGCTTGTGTAATAACCTTTAAAATTTGTAAAACAATAGAATAGTAGATGCAAAAAGGGGCCTCTTAAATGTACAGATTTCTTCATTCAATCTTTGGTTTTATGATTAGTTTCTATGTGATTTTTCACAGAGGTTTGCTATTTTTAGTTGGCTAGATAAACCTTGAAGAAAATGAGTATCCCTTAATGACACCACATGCTCAGTGAAATGTTTATTTGACCAAAGACCAAAGTTTGAAGGAGGCAAAAGACCAATGCTACTTATCTATGAACTAGCTAAAAACGGAGAAGTCATGATGAATCCTGATAGACAGACACACACACACACACACACACACACACACACACACACACACACACGGTACTCTACCTTCAGTACGCCTTTTCTTGTAGCGGGGGCAGCCCTGAGGACTGGTCTCTGCTATGTTCTCCACAGGGCTGAGGGAGTGGCAGTAGGTGGTGACTGGACCCCAGGGACAAGCAGGTGACTGGGAGATACGCTGCAAACACTTTTCCAGGTAGGACAGTCTAAGGAAGGGGTGGGACAAAGGGGCTGAGCTGCTCACCCACTGTTCCCTTCTTCTTCCCTGATCCATGTCATTACCCGCCCACTCACAGCAGCTGCTTGTCCTGATGGAAGAGTCGGGGGGAAAACTCTGAAAGGAGCTCCAGGAAGGCCAGGTTTGGGGGCTGACTGGAGGAGCCAGGTGGAGGCGGTTCAGACAAGGAGAACTTGATGCCTTCCCTTGGTGGAGCAGAATTATTTTAAGAAGACAGTCTCTCCCCATGTCCTGCCCAGAGCTGAAGCATCCCACCCAAGCATCCCACCCTCTCCTTCCCATTTGTCTCCCAGAGGACATCCACTGGCCACACTGACTGCCTTCTCTACATGCTTATCCCTCCCTCCAAGACCAGACTTCGGCTCTCCCTGTATACAGCCTTTGGCTTAGCCCTCTCAGAAAGATCCAAGTACCCTCCCCTGACTTCCAACTAGTACTTCCTTACTTGTGGAGTGTGACCACAAGGTCACGGTTCTGCAGCTGCTGGGGTCCAAAGCTCAAAGCAAACCTTCGGGCCAGATCCCTCATCTCACCAAAGGCTGGAAGCTCATTCAGGCCCTGGGGCCCCTGTTCCTGTAGCAGTTCTGTATATAACTGTGTCCACGAAGCATGGTACATTTGGGATAGAGAGGAACAAGTGGGAAGAGAGCAGGACAGCATTGCCTTCTCTGCCCAGAAATGCTCAAAGACTTGGGATGCCATCTGCTACTTTTACTCTTTCTTTCCTCCCAGACACTGCCCCTACCCCTGGCCCCCTACTGCAGAGACAGCCATCACCTTTGCTCTAGAACAATAAAAACATCTGTAGTAACTGAAGGCACTAAGAGACAACAGACTAGAAGAAAATTAGGAATTCCTATCATTTTACTGGTGCTGCTCCTATGCCCTGATAGCTGAAATCCTATGAAGTTAGGGTGGAAACTGCCCAACAACTAATACTTTCTACAGACCCATTAGTTACGAAGGAGACTGTCAAGTAGAGTCAAAGTAAGTTAGAAAGTTCCTGCTCTTAAGGATCTCACATCCTAAATGGCCAAGGGTTGAGCAGACAGTCTGGGCTACAGGGAAGGCACATCATAGGTCTGAGGTACTTCAGGCAGAAGGCAGTACCTGCTTGAGGCTCAGCAGCAGGATCTGGGAGCAATGACTCCGGTCAATCTGCCTTGCTCTAGTTAACGTTTCCTTGATGATGTCGCCATAGTCCTTGTAAAACTGAAGGACAGGAAACAGAAGATAATGTTTCACAAGACATTCCATTCTGTTCTTCCTTTACATCCCTCCTCATGTGAGGTGCTCAAAATAAACAGAAATCAATATAATGGTGAGTTGAGGAAACTGAGGTACACATCTAGATATCCTGTAAGGACTGATCCCTCTTCCATTCTTTTTCTTCTTCTTTTGTTACACTCCAGTTTATGGAGACTTAGTTCACAGGAAAAAAAAAAAAACTCTGGAAAGGAAATAAGATTATTTCCTTTCCAATGAATTTCTTCCTAACAGCTTTTCCCCATGATTGCTTACTACTGACTCTTTGGTTTCTTTATTCCAAACTTCTGCTGCCTTTTCCTTCCCACTTTTCCTGCAAGCCTGACACCACCACCTCCCCCACCTCGCCCTGCCCGGAGCCCTCCAGTGTTGGAAGTCCTGGTTGTGGTCAGCCTGACGCTTCACTGCACCTTGCTGTAGTGTTTGAAAACATCTGAGGCTGCATCCATGTCCAGCACCCCATAAAGCAACAGCTTGCAGAACCCAGCCAGGAGGCGGCGCCGCTGGTGGAGTTGCTCTATCTGTAAATGATCCTCCTGGGAATGACCTGGCTCACATTAAATGCAGAATGGAAATATTAGAACCACAGATTTAGGCCTCCTGCCTTTATACATCTGAGGCAGTCCTAGCCCCAGACCCTCCCTGAGCCCCAGGTACAGAGTCCTTGTACCACTGCCCAGTTCTCCAGGCTGGATGAAGACATGGTCCATGAGGAAGCTGGCTAGTTCAGACTGGAGAGTGGCTTCAGGAAAAAAGACAAGGGGTCTAAGGAAATCACGCCCCCCTACAATCATCTGAGGGCTGAAGATGAGAAGTAGATCACTCAGTAAGACAAAAGCCTGTTGGAAAAAAAAGAATGCTGAAAAAGGACAGGATGTTGATCAAGATGGAAATTATACAACTAATTTCCCCTTAGAACAAGGCTTCCTCTGACCACGGGGAGAAACATGCCTCCTTGGTCCCACCTAAGTAAATACTAACTTGCTCCTGGATCTCAGAATCCACATCTGACAGGCAGCTCTGGCAGAGTTCACAGAAGGCCACCATCCTGCCCTTTAAACTCAACAGCTGCTTCTGTGGAGACAGTGGCTTAAGGAGGAGGAATGGAGACACAGGCTCCTCCATTCCCAATCCCCCTACTCAGACCCATATTCACCTGGGAGGCACCTGATCCAGAAAGGTGAGTTAGTGTCCAGAGAATGGAAAAATAGACAAGAGTCAAGGCTGGCAGGATCACCTGTAACAACCAGATGTTGGAAAAATGGATGAGTCAGGAGAAGGAGGAACAGGGAGGAAGGGAGAAAGGGAAAGGCAAATAGGCAACACACATACAAAGCAGCAAAGAAAGAAAATGATATTGGGAGACACATGATTCCTTCTCTGGGGGGAAAAGAACCAATTCTGGACAATCTTCAGAGAATTGTCTTGAACAGGAATGCCACCTCCCCCTTATTTATCTGTCTCCTAGAATCCCTCAACATTATCCTTCACTCTCAGAAAACCAGAGAGGATGGCTATTTTCAGACATTGGAAAGTACAGTTCAACTTCCAGAGTGGAACAGAATAACAGCAAGCACCTGACTTTCCTCTCATGTCTACTCCACATTCCTGGGCCTGGAACTGCCTGGAATCACTAGCCACCTAAAACACAGAGCCCTTAAAAACTCTCTGCTTCCACATCTCAGACTTGTCTACTTGCCTGGTGAGGAACCTCTCCAGTGTCCACAGCCTTCTGGAGGAGCCGGCAGCATGGCTCATAGAGCTCCCAGCGACTTAGGTCATGAGCACTTTAGAAAAGAGAGGGAAACATTACGCAGGAACAAACAGGAGGAATCAACACCACAGACACCAGCAGAAACAGGAAGGAACAGGAGATGAGATGCTCACTTGTAGAAGGCAGAGAGGCGCTTCAGAGTGGCTGCCAGACTATACACCTCATCCTCATCTAGGAAGGATGACTGAGGAAGAAAGAGGATCCACAATGGGATTTTCCCCAAAACTCCTAGATTCATGTGCCCCATCTCGTGGCCCCCTAGGGCCCAAGTTTGGGGTGTCCCATCTTTCAGCCCCACTTCCTACCTGCAGCAACTCTTCCAGCTCCTGCTGGAAGCGGTCAGTCAGCAGGTCCATTAGCTGGCTGCGGGCAAAGTCTACCCGGCTGAAGAAGGTGAACTCAGGATTACAGAGCAGATAGAGGGCATGAGCACCAGCCTCAAGCACTGCAGGCTCTGCATGCTTCACCACCACCTCCTGGAGTTGCTGTAAGAATAGCTCCAGATGCTAACAGAGAGACAGGTGAGAGAAGATCATGTTGTGGGGGAGCAAGGGAGAGAGCAAGTCTTCTGGAGGGGAGGAGTGCTGAGGAAAATTTAAAAAATATGGCTGAAAGCATTAAACTTCAAGGATAAGATGTCTCTGAAAGGGTAGGCTTACTGATTTTTCTGGAACCCAGGTTCTTGAGAAGAACCAGACACTGGCAGTAGAACCTCTGGTCCTAGCAAGGAAGCAGCAAGGTATAGAACTATATGTTCCTCTCCTCACCTTCTCCAAGCGCCTAGTACAGTAAATGTTGAGGTCAAAGTACTTGAGAAGCTGGAGCAGGGGAGCAACCTTCTCCGCATCAGCTGAGAACTGCAGAGATTGAGAGGGAGAGCTACTTACTAGTTCACATATGCTAAGTCCTACTCCCAGTCCTCACTGAAGGCCATTTCCATTCACTGCTCACTCCCAGATACTGAACAGTGGGGCAGCTCTACCTTGGCCAGAAGCTGGGGCAGCAGAGGGATGAGATGCTCTGTCAGCTTCACCCTGTCGTCGGCTTGGATCTTACGTTCTTTTGGGGTTAAGCCCTGGAATTAGTCATTTGGGGGGTGGAGGGAAATGTGCAGAAAAACAGTGGCTCCAGAGGGTGTAGATATGTATCCCTCTTCCCCCACAACCTTATCTGCCCAGGAAGAAGAGAGAATTCATTTAGCAACTCCTTCAGATTTTTTTCTAGAAATGGAATTCTTTGAGAGGCAGAGAATGGGCACCCTTATCCTAGGGATAAGGAGTGACAATGCCTATCTGGATTTAATATTGCTAACCAATCCACCCACCCTTCATGCTGTACCTTCCTGCCAGTGATCCGCCCCACAGGTGGGTGACCCTCTGAAGCTTGCCGAACACTGGACACGAGGATTTCTATCAGTGTGCTCTCCTGCACATCGCCCAAGTCTGGGTCAGCAGGAGGATGAAAAACATAGAATCACAAATTAGTCATCCTTCATCTCCAAGTTACTCCAACTTCCCCACTACCCATGACACCTCTGCCTTTATAAGACTCTTGGTTTCCTACTAGGAGGTGAAAAGTCCCCTCCTCTGGCTACTACACAGTACGCACTCTGGTCCTTCTCCAGCAGCAGGCTGGTCAGACTCTCCCAGTCCTTTAGCTGAGACCCTGCACAGTCCCACAGGCTGTCTACTAAGTAAACAGCATGGTCATGGAGCTGTGGAAGAAGGTACATGTTGTTTTTTTTACATTTTTAAAATTTTACTTTATTTAAATTCAATTGATTAACATACAGTGTATTATTAGTTTCAGAGGTAAAGTGCAGCGATTCATAGGTTGCATATAACACCCAGTGCTCATTACATCATGTGCCCCTCTTTAATGCCCATTACCCAGTTACTCCATTCCCCTCCCCCCACCGCCCCCACAACCCTCAGCTTGTTTCCTAGAGTTAAGAGTCTCTTATGGCTTGTCTTCCTCTCTGATTTCATCTTACTTTATCTTTCCCTCCCTTTCCCTATAATCTTCTGTTTTGTTTCTTAAATTCTACAGATGAGTGAAATTATATGATACTTGTCCTTCTCTGAGAAACTTACTGCAACTTAGCATAACATCCTCTAGTTTCACCCACGTCATTGCAAAATGATAAGATTTTATTTGAAAAAGATACATGTTAATACTGAAGCCACATTAGAAAATTCTGGAAAGTGGCTACTGTTAAACTATGTCTTTCCTTCCCACAGTGCCAGCTCCCATCTTTCTCCACCAGCAGGTCTTATACACCACAGCCAAATAATACTTTCCCATACATCACCTCACTCTCCACAAAGAAGGACAGCAAAAGGTGAAAGAAAGTCCTCTGGGCACGTGGACTTCGGCGTCGCTCTCTCCCACCCACTGTTCTAGTCTCACATTCAGGGTAGAAGAGCCTGGTAGAATGAACATGGGGAAAAGGCCACACATGGGAGCAAATGAGGAGTGGAATAATCACTACGGGGGACAGAAAGAGTCCAAGGAAAGGTATAAGAAAAAGTGCAGAGCCAAGGGAAACCTCAAGGAGTTGAGAGAAAACAACAACAGATAGTATTATAGGAACAAATGAGAGGCCCTTACTCACTTCCAGTACAGAAACTCCCCTGCAGCAGACGCCAGGGCTCGGTTAGAGGCATATACAACAGGGTAGATGCCCTCACAGTCTGCATCTGTCAGTACCCCTTCCATGTTCCTGCCAAGAGAAAAGAATAAAAAGCAGGTAGATATGACTGTTGTCCTCCAGCACAACCCAGGGCTAGAAACCAAAAGAGGCAAATGAAGATTTGGAACAATCCAAAAGATGAACCAAAAAGAAAAAAAAAGCAACAAGGATTAATTGACAAAGAACTTTTAAACAAGTGGAAGAATGGAAGACAGAGGAGTAGAGAGTTAGAGAAGATGGAAATTTTCCCAGAGATGCTGCAACTCAGAAATGACCTCTATGTTTCAACCCACACATAAGAAAGAATCAACTTATGACAGGTGGAGGGCTAGGACTCTGGAAGGGCCTGTCTGATGTTAGAAAGGTAAAAGTATGAGATGCATGCCTCTCCACTCCCCAGGACTCACTTTAGGATAAGGGTTAGTAACTTGACAGCCTCCACCGCCACATCATACTCTCGGTCCATGGCCATGGAAACCATCCGGTCCTGTAAGGAAAGAGCACACTGCTCAAAACTTCATCATACTCATGCCCAAACATCATACTCTCATAGAATTTGAGAGATTCCTTAAAAAAAAAAAGGCACAGAAGCAGATGCTGGGATAGCTACACATACATAAGAGCAACAGGAATGGAAAGATAAGGTGGGGAAACAGGAACCACCAGAAAGAGTCAAGCACAGGAGTATGGCCCCAATTTCACCTTGAAGCGGCTGGTGAAGAGCTCCAGGCGGGCAGTCAAATCCTGGCTGCTGTACAGCCCTTTTAGAGCCTTCAGGCACTTCAGACGGACTTCTCGGTGCTATTGAGGAAAATGGAAGCATAACTGACTACTCCTCTACCCAACCCCCACTGGGCCTCCATACCCCTTACACAGATTACTCTTTCTGGGCCTTGGTGCCTCCATGCTGAGGACTTTGGGAGGACTCAGACAACAAACAAAAAGGTTAAGCAGAATTGAGCAATCATCATGAAAAGGCTGGTTTGGCTACAACCCTAGTACCCATCTTACTATCCATTTCTTGTTCTTCCTAGCTTTCTTGCTTTTTCCTAGGGAAAGTCTTTCTCTACTCTGGTTTGGAGGTGTTCCATCTCTTGGATGTACCTCTCTTCTGGTTTATCCTACCCTTCCCAATACCAGGGAGTTTTGTGGTTCACTGGGTTCCTTGATGGGCTGATCACTGGTGAAGTTTCCAAGTGGCAGGACCAGGAAAAGCTGCAGTGTCTCAGGGCACAAAAGAGGGTGAAGGCAACAGGAAAAAAAAGGACTGACTTCAACACTCACCTTATCATGCAGGGTCCAGCCAATATATTTCAAATAGCTGTCAGTGAGGAAAGATGTGCTGTAGCTTTGCATCCAAGACCCAATCTCCTCGATGCAGATAGCACGGATCTCAGGAAGGACATCCCTAGGCACAGACAGGTAAATGGACCCCTATTACCTTCTCTCCAAACTCACTTTCCATCCTCCCACATATCTTCCTGCCATAGAAGAAATGATTTTCTTCACTAAATGCCATGCTTCATGCCTTCCATTTCCTCTTCCCAATGTAAACACATAAAACATAAACCTTTTCTTTCTGTAATACTTCAGAAAATAATTGAGCTTATCCTCCCTGCCCCCTTTAAAACTGACTTTGGAAGTTAATCTAACCATTGGCTAAACTTCCACTTGAAGAGAAGATTAAATCAGCTGAAGAGTTCTTGGAAAGGCAGAGGTTGAAATCTTGTTGACTGAGGAAAAAAATATGGACACTATTTTTAACTTCATTCCACCAGTTCTTTTAAACAGTGTAGACCTCCCCTGCCTTTAGCACAGTGACACAGCAGGCTGGGTTAGGAAAAGGCCTGCGAAGTTGCACACCCTCAGAAAAGCCCTGCCTTTTGGCTCTTTGCTCTTGTCCTCTCAGGTCTCCAGTCCCAGGAAGATGAGGAAGGGAAGGTCCTCCGCAAAGCTGGTGCAAAATAATATCGAAAATGCCTTATTCTGTTATTTTCTCTCTCAAAAGAGCTTACAAGAGTCTTTGTAGTTGGGGATGAACTAAACTTCATGAATTCAAAACATCTGTTGTCACAGTTTTTGCTCCAGCTGCATTAGCGCTAGAACTAACCAAATAACCAGGGTCAGAGTGGGGGCCTTGCTACTTTTTACAGATTCTATAACCAAGGACCAGCTACTTCAACAAGGGGAGCCCATTCACTCACCTGTACCGGTGCACAAAGACACCCCTGAAGAGGGCATTCATCATCCCCTCAATCTCCTCTTGATGCTCCTGGAGCTGGAGGACAGGGAAGAACAGGTCAATCTTTCTCATTTTATGGCCTAAGGCCATAAAAATAAAGTATGACTCCCATCTACTTCCTATTACAGGACACAGTCTGAACCCCTGAAAACCTTCTAATTCTAGAAGAAGCTATAGAGTCAATTAATGCCTCAGAGGTTTCTTTGTATTTGGAAAAAATAATATCTCCCCTCTGGATCTGGTTATTCTGGCTATCTTTGACTATCCAGAGGTACTAGCTGGCAGTTATATACATTTTTGACTAACAACTGAGAAAATGAATTTTTAATAAATGCAGTTTAACAGAAAAACTAGAACTAATAAAAAACAAAAAAATAAGAGATTAGACCAATGGTACTCAACTGGGAGCCCCTCAGGGAACATTTAGCAACTTCTGAAAACATTTTTGGTGGTTAAGACTGGGAGGGGGTACTACTGCCATCTAGTGGATAGAGGCCAGGGATGCTGTTAAATATCCTGCAATGGCAGGACAGCCCCCATGTCAATAGTGCCATTGTTGGGAACCCTGGATTAGATGAATGATAGTTATCAAGGAAGCAGAATTATAAAGAGACTGACAAGAACAACAAGGAAGCGGGGTTATAAGAGAACATTCTTTAAGACAATTGACCCTACCTCTTCAATAAATCAACATACTGGGGGAAAATGGGGGAGGCAGAGGTTCTACACAAGATTATGACAGACTTAAGAAATATAATAAATACGGTGCATAATCCTTAATTTAAATCCTGGATGGAATTAACTATAAAAGGCATTTTTAGGACAGATCAGGAAATTTAAATATGAACTGGATTGGAAAATATTAAGAAATCATTATTAATATTTTTGAATGTGAAAATGGCATTGGGCTAATGTGGAGATCATTTTTTGGGGGGGATCATTTTTTAGATGAATTTTTTTGTATCTGGTAAAGTACATGTTTTAAGTCTTAGGTGGAAATACCAATGACCATAATTTACTATAAAATATCAAACTGGATGAGGCAATATAGTGAAATATTAGTTGTTAAATCTAAATAATTTGTATACAGTGTTCACTCTACCAGTGTCTCTACCTCTCACAACATTTAGAAAATTTCATATTGAAAAGGAAGGGGCACTTAGATGGCTCAATTGGTTAATCGGCTAGCTCTTGATTTACTCAGATCAAGATCTCAGGATCCTGGGATAGAGTCTTGTGTTGGGCTCTGTGCTCAGCAAGGAGTCTGCTGGAGGATTCTCTCTCTCTCTCCCCCTGCCCCCTCCTTCTGCCCTTCCCTGCCACTCACACATGCATGCTCTCTCAAATAAATGTTTTTTAAAATGAAGGAGAAAAGGGATGGAGAAAAGGAGAAAAGTGTGCCATTACTACCAAATTCTACAGAAGTTTGGATAAAGGAGATTGAGAAAAGACCACTGACCATATGGATTAGGAAGTCACTGGTTTGGAGAGAATAATTTCAAAGAAAAATGGGGACAGAAGCTAGGTAGCAAAAAAGAATTCAGTTGGATATTAAGAAATACTAAGAGGAAGGACAGAGATGGAGTAGTTCACAGAGAAGAGTAAAAGGAAGATCAAAGATCTACACACATTTATAAGAAAACAGTAGGGAGGAAGAGATTAAAAGCCAAAAAACAGGGATGCCTGGGTGGCTCAGTGGTTGAGTGCCTCCCTTTGGCCCAGGGCCAAGGGATCCTGGAGTTCCGGGATCGAGTCCCACATCGGGCTCCCTGCATGGAGCCTGCTTCTCTCTCTGCCTGTGTCTCTGCCTCTCTGTGTCTCTCATGAATAAATAAAATCTTTAAAAAAATAATAAAAAAATAAAATAAATTAAAAGCCAAAAGACAAATAATAACTGAAGAACCTAGACAAGTCAAAAAGAGATTCATGTGGTAGACACCATTTAAGACCTAACATACAAAAGGTTTAAGATCATACTGACATTGAAAACAATGAGAGTTAAGAAAGGCTTATTTTGGAAGAGACCTTGGTGAGGGATGGGAAAACAGTGCAGTTAAGACATGGGGAGTCCTGCCAACCTCATGCTGGGGGAGCCTCAGACAGTATAGGAGGGTAGGGAGAAAATCAGGGTCGCATGACATACATAACTGTTTGAAGGTTTAATCAGTGTAAAAGATTTTGTTAGAGCTTACATCCCCTCCAGTGGTCTTTAAGTTTGAAAGGATAAAGCAAGTACCTACAATGTGCCAGACTAGGCAATTCACTCACCATCTCATTTAATCTTCATAAAAAGGTAGAATTATCCCCTTTTTACAGAAAAGGAAACGGAAGCTTAGAGGTTACATAAGGCCACGGAACTAGTAGGTAATTGGAACAGAACTGAAACCCAGGAATGAGTGAAAGGCCTATTGCTTCCCAGTCCTTGAACAGTTGGCCTCCCTTGTCAGTGGCTGGCCATTAGTACTCCTGTGATGACCTGCAGACTGTATACTTGACCAGAAAATAAAAAGTTAACTCCTTGCACAAGATGCAAGCACAACACTTAAACACATTTTTGATAATGAACATAGACATGGAGACTAAGCAAAAGTGGAATTATGAGGAACTCTATAAAGTTTATTCTAAATTAGAAATAATTCAATGAGCATACATTCCAGAAACAAGCGTCAGTGACATCTAACATTATGGCTCTATTAAGACCATCAGACCCCACTTTTCATGACCTGAAAACGTTGCATAGGGGCCTGTGTCTTAGCAAAGAGAAGTGCTCAGGCCCTCAAGGCAGCAGCACTGGATGGCAACTGGGAGAGAGGGAGAGAAGAGGCAGGAAACATTTCTTACTTCTTTGCGCTTCTCCAACAGGCTCTCTAGCCGCTCAGGTGCTCTCTGTCCTGGCCCCTTATTTCGTTCAGCCTCATACTGTCGCTGATTATTGTCTTTGTGCAGACTCAGCTGGAGGGCAACTCTTACCAGGGAGGTCATCAGCTTCATGGCTTTGAGCCAGGAAAAATAAGAAAGGGGAATTATTACTTAGGTTGGAAGAGGGAGGATAGGTTCAAAAAGAAAGGAAAAAACCTTCTTGTGGTTCCAGTGGGAAGAGGAGGAGGAAGCAGGGAATGAGGCAGTTGGGGAAAACATACTATGACTGCTACCACCACTGCCACCAAAAACAGAAAAGGAAGGAAAAAAAAAAGAAAAGGGCAGTAAAAAATGAAAAGCTAGAGCAGAGTAACCCTAAAATCCGAAGACCTACTGTCCTGAACGGACATTTTTTCTCCCTCTTTTGGGCTTCATTTAATCCTCAGCATATTCCCAGCAGATGAGCTATGGGAAACAAGTTAAAGCTGTTAATTGTCATTGTAACCCACTTTTTTTTTTTTTAATACCATACTACTAGTGAGAAACTTGATTGCAAGTTCAAGGTAAGAGAAGCCTGGCCTTGAAGTAAAGGGCTAAGACAGAGAGAGAGAGAGAAAAAAAAAAAAGATCGGGACCAAAGAACAGAGGAAATCCCCCAGAGAACACTTAGACACTCAAATGAGTGCTCACCCGCTAGGGTGCTGGTGTGACGGAAGGCCCGGACCTGGGAGTCCGAGAGGCCAGTGAGCAGGGAGATGAGGTTGTCCATGGGGAAGCCATCATAGAGAAGGCTATACTGGCACTGATAGACCAAGGTCTTCACAAACTCACAGAAGCTTCCCTGGAACTTCTTCCAGGATGGACCTGGTGCTGTCAGGGGATAGTCTCCTGAGTCCTACAGAAGGGTTTATGAAAAAGATGAGAAAAGTGTTACCACGTCTATGAAGCTGTAGGGACTCTGTATGTCAAAACCCAATAGTACAGTAAAGATGTATCTTTGCTATACCTCATTCCCTGCTGTATTCAACTATAGAAGCATATTGAGATAACACCTACAGGTCCCTTTTTCCCACAAGAAACTTAACTCCTCCTTCCAAAAGCTATCCTATTTCCCAGAATCAGAAAAAGGGGGATAATGGGCCTTGTATTTTGAAATAAGAGTGGCAAGAGGATCCTGATTGTCTTCCTCCACCTCATTAAATTGTTCTGTTAGGTGCCGGATGATCTCTGAATTGGACATCTTCTTGAACATCTCAGGTGTCACAATGCCTGAGGAATGGAGGAGATGAGATACTTAAGAGAAAGATAACAAGACACTGACCATTTACACATATACCTGAAGATGAGCTAGGGGAATACACTGAAAAGAGCGTAGGTGGGGAATCAGAAGACCTGAATCCTAGTCCTAAATCTGCTACAATCTAACTGTGTATCTATTATAAAGCAACCTCTTTAGAGAACCCAAAGGAATCAAGAAATGGAAAGCAATAGAAAACAATGGTTAAAAAAATCCAAATGGGCATCTGGTTGGCTCAGTCGGTAAAGCACATGACTCTTGATCTTAAGCTAGTGAGTTCAAGCCCCACACTGAGCATGGAGCCTACTTAAAAAAAAAAATCCAAACAAAAAATAAAGCAATAAAACTACACCAGTTCTGGATTCCTGTAATACTGCTTGCCTAGGATTATCTTGCCCCAATAAATTAGGTCATGACCTCTGAGGATGTGGAGGGCCCACAGCTTCAGTGGAAAAATATGGAAGGAAGTGGCTGAGAAATAAGGATAAATGATTATTTCATCTAGAGAAAGGAAGACTAAAAGGTGTCTAATAGTCTACTTTCAAATTTGTGAATATCATCTTCATCACATTAGTGTGATTAGTTATTTTTCCCCAAAGGGTCTTAGCTCCAAATCAACATAGTTCCCTTACTAATCACTTCCCTATTTACCAATCTACAATGTATTCAAATCAGTGAAATTTTTCTCATGCTTTACCTTCTCTCTTTATTTAGGAAATACCTAGTCCCACTCATTTAAATGTAGCAAAAGTTTCATGACATAGGTACAGAGAGTTAAGGATTACAAAGGGATAGGAGTTTCCTCACCTTTACACCCACAAGATCGGATGAAAAAGTTAATAAGCTCCAGAAATCCTGCATCCTGGTCTTGCTTGTAGTTATCCAGCCACTCATCCACCAAAGACTAGGAAAATAAGATGGATGATTTCTGTTTCTGGCAATATGACAGACAGGAAATCCTATATGATTGTCCCAACTGAAACAGCAAAACTTCTGATTAAAATATTAAAAACATCTTTTAAAATGTATTGCTGAACCAGAATGAAAATGTAGAACTCCATGTAGACCAAAAATGAAGTGAAGGTATCAATCCTGGGAGATAAGAAAGCTGATTTTTGCCCTAAGAGTTCTATTAAACACTGGGAATCCTGACTCTGTCCAGACGGCTGCATGGAATGTAGAGCATAGGATATAGAGCCTCTGGGTTTTCCAAGAAGAGAGATCTAAAAGGAGGCTTCTGCAATAAAGCTAGGTACTGCAAAAAGTCACATCATGAAAGCAGGAATGAGAAATGAACCTATAGTCAAGCCAGAAGGCAACAAGCAACAAAACCAGCTTGTTAGGACTAGTGTGGGGGTGGAAGGGAACAAAAGAATTCTCCCTTGAGAATTCATAACCATAAGTCAGGTCTCAGGTCCTGGATTTGCAGTCCAGATCCACACGACCTGTACGATCAGAATACTGTCAATCAGAGAATTTAATTCAAAATGAACCTGGAATGTCCCCAATTAACTACCAGAAGCAAGTGCAGATTCCTCTCTTAAAAACCTACCTGTAACCCGGGGCCCAAAGAATTCTAACAGATAGAGCTCCTAGAAAAATGAGCAGTTCCTCGTGAAACTTAGTAAAGAAATAAGGCACTGAAAATAAGAATTGGCAGGAAAAAACAGCGGAATTATATTCAGACTTCAAGCATTAAAGTTATTACAGATTATAAATCATGCTATGAATAAAGAGATTGAAGCTTTAAAGTAGAAGCAAAGGACAATCATTTTTGAAAAAGGGCAAAAAGGGATGCCTGGGTGGCTCAGCGGTTGACTGTCTGCCTTTGGCTCAGGGCATGATCTCAGGGTCCTGGGATCAAGTCCCACATCAGGCTCCCTGCAAGAACCCTGCTTCTTCCTCCACTTATGTCTCTGTCTCTCTCTGTGTGTCTCTCATGAATAAAGAAAGAAAATCTTGAAAGAAAGAAAGAAAGAAAGAAAGAAAGAAAGAAAGAAAGAAAGAAAGAAAGAAAGAGGGAAAAATCTATAGAAGTGAAAAATACAATAAAATTGAAACTTGAACAAATGGATTAAAAGCAAATTGGACACAGCAAAACAAAAGATGAATGAACTGGAAGATTAAAAGAAAGAAATTATCCAAAATTCAGCCTGGGTGCTCACTTCAGAGCACATATACTAAAATTGGAACGATACAGAAGATTAGCATGGCCCTTGCACAAGGATGACACCCAAAATTCAGCCTGGAGACACTAACTGAAATACTGATAGAGCTACTAAGAGACAAGGAGAATAGAGGGAGAAGTTCTAATTGATGTCTAAATGAATTGCAGAAGTAGATAATGGAATGATAAAGGGACAGTATCTGAAGAGAATTTTCCACAGTTGTTGAAAGATATCTTCAGAACCTAGAAGCCAAAAGATTTCAAATATGACACATAAAAAGGAAATTTACATCTTTAAGCACTCTGTAAAACATCAGAACACAAAAAATAACTCTCAAAAACAGTCAAGGCAAAAAGAGATCACTTAAAAAGTATTTACATGTCATGGCACTTACAAACAAAGCCATTTACAAATTAGATCTGCACAAATAGGGGTGCCTGGGTGGCTCAGCAGTTAAGCATCTGCCTTCAGCTCAGGGTGTGATCCTGGAGTCCCAGGATGGAGTCCCACATTGGGCTCCCTGCATGGAGCCTGCTTCTCCCTCTGCCTATGTCTCTGCCTCTCTCTGTGTGTCTCTCTCATGAATAATAAATACAATCTTAAAAAAAAAAAGATCTGCACAAATACATTAGAGCCCCTAGCCATATATGGGTCTAAAAATTAAACCAAATAAAAATTTAAAAATCCAGTTCCTCAGTCACATCAGTCACACTTGTAAGTAAGTACTCAAGAGCCACATGTGGCTAGTGGATACTATATTAATGATGATACATAACATTTCCATCATTACAACATGTTGTACTAGACAGCGCTAACTTAGATGGCAGCTGGCCTTCAGCAGCAACAAATGAAGTCAGAAGGCAGTGGAATAATCTTTTCAATGTGAAGAGACAGAAAAATACCATCTTAGGATTCTATACCCAGCAAATAACCTTTCAAGAACAGGAATAAAAGACATTTCATACAAGAAAAAAAAAGCTTGCTAGTAAACTACCTAAAGGAAAATTTAAAGGATAAACTTGAACAGCAAGAGAGTGAATTTGTATTAAAGATGTGAGAAACAATGATAAGCAAAATGATAAAAATGTAAATACAAATACTGTATAAACAGTAATGTCTAATTTGTTGGAAAAAGGAAAATAGACATAAATAAAACACTACAAGACAGCATGAAAACTTGCAGGGACAATTAGAATTAAAGTGTGCTTAGGTTCTTATAGAAGACAAAAACCAAAAGCAAGCAAAGAAAGAAGAAACAGAAAAGGTAAAATAAAGCAAAAGTACATAAAATGATAGAAATAAATTCATATGTACCAATAGTGACAATACATGTAAATCAATCAAACTCTCTTGTTAAAAGAGAGATTAACAAAATGGATAAAAGAACATAATTTAGATATGTGCTATATGCAGAAGACAGACTCCAAACATACACAGAAAGACTGGAGACAAAAAGGTAAAAAGAAGAGTGCCTGGCTGGCTCAGTCAGTAAAGCATGTGACAATCTCAGAGTTGTGAATTTGAGCCCCAAGTTGGGTGGAGAGGGTCCTTAAATATAAAGTCTTAGGAAAAAAAGTATAGAAAAAGATATTAAGCAAATACTAATAAAAATAAGCTAATGTAGATTATATTTATAAAAAACAATTTTTGTCTTAAAATATAAAAAGTGACAATACATAACAAAGGTTCAATTTACTAGGGAACAAACACTCAAAATATTTAAGACAAAGATAGATGTGAATACAAAAGTAGTAACTAAAAAGATCATCTTTGTGGATTTTAATACATATCTCTGTAATTGACATACCAGACCAAAACCAAACAAAAACCTGAAAACCTAGTAGAAATATCAAAGAAGTATCATTTCACTGTGAAATAGCTTTGGAAATGAAGTAAATGCAAAATCATAAAGCTAGTCTCTGTAAGTTTCAAAGACATTTTCTGACTACAATGCAATAAAGTTAGAAATCAATAATGAAAAAATATATATAGAAAATTCCTTATGTATGAAAACATAGACTGTTCCAGAAACTATAAAAATCTACAGTACACAATATGACTAAATCTCAAACAATCAAAATAAGTCACAGAAGACTACACAAAAATGGTTCATTTATTTAAAGAACTCATTCACTGGTGACAAAAAAATATAATGAAAGACAGTGGAATGATTAACAGAAAATTAACTCTAGAAGTTATTTCTGGGTGGTGAGGGAACTGTGTGGGCCAGATGGAGAAAAGATATACTATGACACTATTAATGTTTCATTTCTTGAGCTGAGATTAGCGATCTGAGTGATCAAATTTTCTTTAAAACTACTTTTGAGCTTTCTACTCTTTTAGATGGTATCAGAATTACAAAACAATTATGGATAAAAATTCAGGGAGGGAAAGAATTAGATGTAACTGTTAACGTGGAGCTAAAACATGACAAGAGTGAACAAGCTGCCACCCATATCCATGATTTCTCTCTAGATTATCCAATGCCACTGCTTGCCTCCTCTGTCTCGATTTCTATCCTGTTCTGTGGCGTTCTCTCACACCCAAGGTCTCCCTTATGACATTCCAAGGATTCATTCCATGGTCTTAGCTCTGACTCCTGATATGTTATACTCCTTAATTGTCCACATTAGATCAGTTTTGTAAACATTTGCTCTTATCTTTCTACCCTACAAGATGGTAAGATGGTATCAAGAAACAGAGGGTGAGACAATGTTTTACCTGCATGTCACTTTTGGCAGCTTTCACAGCATCAAAGAGATCAATGGCTGTTGGCTCTGAGTCTTTCTGGCCATGACCACATACCATTTGGGACCCCTTCTTTGGATGTTTTGCCACCTAGTAAGTATAAAGGAATATTTTTAGGCAAAGTGATATTAACACTTGCTCTCATAACTGTCACACAAGTAGGCTTAAACCACCAATTTCACAGCAGAATCTGAGTTACTGAGATCTGAAATAACTAATTCTTACATTGTCAACTTTATTATTTTTCTCCTTTTAAAAATCCCCTCAGGAAAAAAAAATCCCCTCAGGCCCATTCCTGTTCCTCTGTATCCCTAATGCTGTTCTTTTATTCTTTTCTCTTCAAAATTTACCTTCTTCATACTTGTGTCCCTTAACACTTTTTAATAAAAATTTGTCCTTTCATCAAACTTATCACTGGAGTCTTTTCTAGGTTTTCTTTTGATGCTTCCCAGACCAGGTTCAAAACCAAAACAAAATCAAATGACTCACTGGGGTTGTTTTCAGTGGTCGTTTTGCTGCTCTCTTCTTCACGTTGCGTCTCAGGTGGTCTTCAAAGTCACTGCCTTCATCAGCTGATAAAGAATCACTATCCCTATGAGGGAGTATGGTTCTTTTTAGATACAAAATCCCAGTCCCTCCATATAAAAGGGCAAATGAATCATAATTTCTTTGTAACTATAGCCCCCTTTCCATGGGAAAAATATATTGAGATTTTTCTTTTTTTTAAATTTTTATTTATTTATGATAATCAGAGAGAGAGAGAGAGAGAGAGAGAGAGAGAGAGAGAGGCAGAGACACAGGCAGATGGAGAAGCAGGCTCCATGCACCGGGAGCCCGACGTGGGATTCGATCCGGGGTCTCCAGGATCGCGCCCTGGGCCAAAGGCAGGCGCCAAACCGCTGCGCCACCCAGGGATCCCTATTGAGATTTTTCTAAATAAATTTGTTTACTGTTAACAGAATGGAGACAAAATCTTAGAAGAAAACTAACTTGAAAAAAGCAGTGAAGATTAAAAATGAAAAACTGAGGTGGGGAAATGACAACCCTTTCCTAACATTCTCTCTGAATAAAAAAAATGATATTCGCTTAAGCAGGGAGAGAGAAAAATCAGCATGGCTTAGGAAGTCATTATTCATGCCTAAACTGGAAATTAATATGTGCCTATAGTTAAATTTCGCCTCTTGAAACAAGTTCACAAGTATTTTTTTAGAGTTAAGTTTAAAACATAGATATAGGGGATCCCTGGGTGGCGCAGCGGTTTGGCGCCTGCCTTTGGCCCAGGGCACGATCCTGGAGACCCGGGATCGAATCCCACATCGGGCTCCCAGTGCATGGAGCCTGCTTTTCCCTCTGCCTGTGTCTCTGCGCCTCTCTCTCTCTCTCTCTCTGTGACTATCATAAATGAATTAAAAAAAATAAAAATAAATAAAACATAGATATAATCTGGCCCCCAGTAGTAGCACTGATATATATGTCAGAGGAAGCCAATTAAAAAATAACCAGGAGATAAATCAGATCTTGTATGAGGTTATTTTTTTTCCTGGAAAGATAAAAAAACATATATATTACTAAAACCTTCACAAAGTAAGCTCATAGATAAGGACAGACCAATCTGTTTATAAAATTCCCCAAATGAACACAACACACCAACTAACAAGTATATACTACTTGTTAGGAAACAAATAAAGAACCCTTTACTTGTCCTCCTCCACCTCCCGGCTCTGGACAGAGGCTGTACATGTTGAATATACAAATGTATTCAAGAGGGATCCCTGGGTGGCGCAGCAGTTTAGCACCTGCCTTTGGCCCAGGGCGCGATCCTGGAGACCCGGGACCGAATCCCACGTCGGGCTCCTGGTGCATGGAGCCTGCTTCTCCCTCTGCCTGTGTCTCTGCCTCTCTCTCTCTCTGTGTGTGACTATCATAAATCAATAAAAATTAAAAAAAAACCTTTTAAAAAAAACAAATGTATTCAAGAAAGGTCTGGAAGAGCTGGATGGTAGGTTTAGAAAAAGATATATTATTTTTGTTGCCTACAACATACAAGGTAGGAAAAAGAAAAAAAAAAAACAAAAAAACAGCCAGTAGAGCTGGAGAGGATCACTATTCTGAACCAGTAAGCTTCTCTTATGTTTCCAGAGTCAAAGGCATACAGAGGGGAAAGCTGCCCGCACTGGAGAAAGTCGCGCAATACAAGTTCTCACCAACTCCACTCACCCCTGTGACGCCTGGTCTGAGTCCCTGTCACCATAGGGCACACTGACGGATGAACTGGAGGACGCAGAAAAGCCCCTCTGAACACCTCCTGCTGTTCTCCGCAGCGGGGAGGACACCGTGCTTGGGGAGGAGGAGGACCGCAGCGTAGGCATGCTGGTCTAGCTGCAGGAGAAAGAGGAGAAGAGAGGGCCTCTAGGCCACCACGTCTCCAGCCTCGGCCACAACCATCCCCTTTCCCTCCAAGGGGACTGCTCTGCCACTCGGGGTTGGGATGTGGGCGCACAAAAAAAATGGCAAGAGTCTTGCCCTAAGGCATCAGGGGTTCGGAGACACCACAGACCCACGGACGCTGGTTGGGAGTCGCTCTCTGCAGACATCCCTCTCTGCAGGCGTCCAACTGTCGACTGCCAGCCAGCTCGTGTCTGCGCGCTACAAATAAAAACTCAAAAAACAAAAAGGACTCCATCTTTCATTTTCAGGCTGGCGCCTGATTCCACATGGAATGGTATGGAAAGCGCTTAACAATCTGGGGCGTGGCCGCCATTAGAACAGGGTTAGAAACGCTGAATGAGTAAAGGCAATCGCATTCTCAGACCCATCCTGGGGTAAGTGGGCTGAGGGGCTTCCTAACCATTCAAAACAGTGGCTATCAGTCTCTTAAGGGCTGGGGCTAAGGGTTCCTGGCCTCTGTGAAGAAAGCCACTGAGGCATGGAAGAGGGCAGTTCCTCTCCTCAGGGCTGGGAGGGCGGGGAGAGGGCCTATTCTTGGGTCCAAGAGGAGTCTCACTGAGCCCAAAAGGGCGACGTCTGGATGGGCAGCGATGAGGAAAGAGCACTGCTTCGGGTCCTTCGGGGTTGTCCCGTCACCCCACCTCCACGACAGGCGCCAGCGGCTTCTCTTCCGAGGGAAGGGGAGAAGGGGGGTGGAAGAATCTAGAAAAACGCGGGAAGGCACGAGGCACCTGTGCGCAGGCGCGAGCTCAACGGCCCGTCCCACTGCTGGCAATTGTCGCGAGGCTTGGGCGTGCACAAGCTCGTGTTCACCACGTTCCAGTCACGCTACTCCAGCAGCCTCGTGCGCACAGCCTCTTGGGCGGGCCGCCCCGTCACATGGGCTCGGGCGCGGAAACCACCTGCTTTAGCCCTGCTCCACCCCGGTCCCGCCCCCTCTGCCCCCAATTTCCCCCTCCATTGGCCGGGCTTCGCATTAGAGTAGTTGTAGCCCCTTCAGTCTGGTTTCTCAACTGCTATAGGCTGAGTTCCACCAAGGCCCCGCCTTTCGAGTCAGATAGCCACGCCCCCAAGAAAGGCTACGCCCCTCCCCCACCAGCCTCCTTAGTTCCGCGGAGTACCGCCCCCCTGCCGAGCTTCCCCACTACATTGGCTTAATTTCTCCCTCGGCCCCGCCCCTGAGGCCCGCTCTTTACCATCATTGGCGGGGCCTTGCCTCGGACCCCGCCCCCTGTCCGGCTCCCCGCTCCCATTGTCTCCGCAGATGCCGCTTGGTCCAGCTATCGTGCTCGGGATTCAGTTTTCCGAGGTCGCGCTCTTTCTCTGGCCGGCGGAGCGGTGCGTTGGCAGAGAACCGGATTCCCGAGTTCGGGCTGTTCTCTCCTTCTTGGGACACACTTTGCTGAACCAGGTCGGCAGCGGCTATGTCCGCTCTGCGATCTCTTCTGCTTCTGCTGCTGTCTCTGTGTCCCGGTCCTGGTCCTGGACTTGGGAGCGAGGCAAAGGTCACCCGGAGTTGCATTGAGACCCGGCAGGTGCTGGGGGCCCGGGGATATAGCTTAAGCCTACTCCCTCCCGCCCTGATTTCAGGTGAGGAGAAAGAGGAAGACTAGAGAATTGGGGGCGCGGGAGGGGGCGGCGGCGGCTCCTCCCCAGTTCACAATAACTCTCCTCCTTTTCAGAATGACCGTTATCATAATCTTTTCATGCCATAGTCATGAGAGTAGTGTTTCTTCTGAACTTACCAGGATCACGATAACCCTCCTGTTCACATAATAGGTTTCTTACTCCACCCCCACCCTAGGAATCCCTTTTTAGTAATTAGCACCCCCCCCCGCCCCGTGTTTCTTTCTTCATAGCTCAATCTGTCCCCCTCGCTATTTCTAAGAGCCCCTTCAATGATAATACTTTCTTGCTTACCTAGTAACCCCACCCCTCCAATCCCCATTCTTCTCATAGACGCTGTCCTGTAAGTCCTTAGCGGCCTGGAGTGTGCAATATTGGGGAGGGTGACCTGAGGACACTGATCACTAATTTGGCCCATTACTATTTGATCCCATGGCTAATGGCAGTGGACTTGAGATGGGTGAGGGGACAATAAGGAGGGGATAGAGTCAGGTGGGGATGAGGCAGAGACAATAGAAAAGAGACCAGACAGGTAGAAGAGAAAGGGTAGCCCCCCCCCCCTACAGACAGAAGAAGGAAGGGATTTCATGAAAGCACTCCCGCCACCCCCATTGCTCTATGTCTCCTCTGTGCAGGTGAACACCTCCGGATCTGCCCCCAGGAGTACACCTGCTGTTCCAGTGAGATAGAGCAGAGGCTGACTTGGGACACTGAGGCCACCTTCCGAGGCCTGGTGGAAGAGAACGGCTCATTCCTGGTTCACACACTGGCCTCCCGGCACAGAAAATTTGATGGTGAGGACTTAGGGTCTCTAAACCTGGTTTGACACCTCACACCTCCTCTCTGCACTCATGACCCCAGTAAACATCCTGTCTCCACCCTCTAATCCATCCCTGTGGCATCCTAACCCTGGCTTAGCCCCCCTTCACTCTCACCCCCAGGCTCTCTCCAGGATCAGTGCCCCCCCCCCGACCCCCTCCCAGTCTTCCCAGGTCTCTAAGAGTTCCTGAGGCTCTAACTCACTTGTCTTTTTTTCCAGTCTTCCCTTCCTCGCTCTTCCTGCCCCAGCCCTTTCAATTTTCCATCCTTCCCTGGCCTCACCCCATCTCACACCCCTTTCTCCACATTTGCCACAGAGATTTTTCGGGAGATGCTCTTGTCATCTGAGCACTCTCTGGCCCTGCTCTTCCATCGCTCCTTCGGCCACCTGTATTCTCAGCACGCCCCCGTATTCAGTGGCCTGTTCTCTCGGCTGCGGGACTACTATGAGAGGTCCGGTGAGGGGTTAGATGACGCTTTGGTGGATTTCTGGGCACAGCTCCTGGAGAGATTGTTCCCCCTGCTGCATCCACAGTACATCTTCTCCCCTGACTACCTGTTTTGCCTCACTCGCCTCGCCTCCTCTGCTGATGACTCTCTGAAGCCTTTTGGGGACATACCCCGCCGCCTCTACCTGCAGGTGAGAGGCCCTAAAGACTGAGCTTCAGCCACCTCTGACCTGGTGACTTCTGAGCTGTGCACCACTCACCCCCAACTCAGTGAACACCCCCCATGTCCCAGTCACCCCTGACCTGGTGATCTCCCCCATCCTGCATGGCAGCCATCTCTGACCTGATGACCCCTATCTTGAGCCCCAGTCCCCTCCTCCTAACCCAGTGTTCTTTGATCTCCTTTAATTGGGTACCCTTTCACTCTCATTCTGTGCCCTAGTTTCACACAAGTCCCTGAACCACTCACCTGTTCTTGGCCCCAGCCACCTTTCTGCCAACTGCTCCCCAATCCTAATATCTTGATTTCCTCTGGTTCAACTAACCATGAATTAGGCACCTAATGAGACAGACTTTCATTTATGGTATCTCATTTAATTATCATAATTCTTCAAGGGAGATGGTAGTATCCCTATTCTATGGATAAGAAAGCTGAGCCTCCCAGAAGTTAAGGTCTTACAGTCAGTAAGTGGTAGAGGTGTATCTCTGGTGTGGGATGATGGGCAGGGTGTATCTCTGGTGTGAGATATACCTTTGGCTTCCAGTTCATTGCTTATGTGGATACACTGTCCCTCTATCACTCAGCCCTCAGCCCTATAAATCACAATTGCTCTGTTTCTTCCCAAACCCAGTTCCCGTTTATCCTTCTGGACTATAATTCCTTTGAGCCTTTTGAACCTGCTTCCCTGTACCACCTGGCACTCCTAACAATGCTGCCATTAACTCCACAAACCTAATCCCCGCTGCTTATGCCCTTGGTGTAGTCTCTTGGCTCCAGTCTTGACTGAACCATGACTGACCCTGTGGTTTCTCTCATCTTCTCTCCCCTATCCCAGATAACCCGGGCCCTGGTGGCCGCCCGGGCCTTTATCCAGGGTCTGGAGACCGGAAGAGATGTGGTCAGCGAAGCACTTAAGGTTAGAAGGGGCCTGAGTGTGGGCAGGGCCCAGGGAGGGAGAGGTAGAAGAGAGGCCCTATGAGGAAGAGTCAAGTGCCAGCTGGAGAGGTCTGAGGCCTTTCCGTGTCAGTCCTGGATACACCAGTAACCAGGATAAAGCAGGAAGGAGGGGCCCTTGAGCCATGACCCATGACCTTGTGCCATTCTGTAACCCTTTTCTGCCCTCTGAGACAACCCCCTTCCCAACCCTCCCCACCCCTGCCAGCCTCTGGTTGCCTGCTCATCTCCAGAGCAGCCTGAAATTGAAGTAGTGCCTTTACTATTCCCCCACACCATGTCCCACGGGACTCCTTAATAACTCCGCCTTCCTGGTACTGAAGGCCAGATTCCTGCTTTGGCCTTTATTTATTTTTTTTTTAAGATTTTATTTATTTATTTGAGAGAGAAAGGGAGAGGGAGAAGCAGGCTCCCTGCAGAGAAGGGAGCCCTACCCAGGGCTCAATCCCAGGACCCTGGGATCATGATCTGAGCCAAAGGCAGAAGCTTAACTAGCTGAGCCACCCAGCTGCCCCTGCCTTGGCCTTTAAATCCCTCTTTTCACCACCCATTTTCTCCCTGACCTCTCAGCCTTACATCCTGCATCCCCAGTCTCCTCTCTTCTCAGCCACAATGGGCTCCGTCTTCTCAACCTTTTCTCAGACTTCTCCTCCCACTGCCTCTCTAATTCCATCCCTCCCTCTCCCCCAAAAGATGGTATCTGTAGCCTGGCCCCTAAGAAACTTCCTTATCAGACGTGTTACTGTCTTGAGGTCTTACCTGTTGCCACATGGGGTCACCAACTCTACACAATCACATCCAGCTCTCCACAGAGAGCCTGGGGGTGGGTGGGGGGGTGGTGTTTGATTTCTCTCTGTCCAGCACCAAGTTTGGCTGAACGCAGTCACTTTGTTTGCGAATAACACAGTCCTGGTATCTGCCCCCAGGTGCCAATGTCTGAAGGTTGCAAGCGGGCTGTGATGCGTCTGACTGGCTGTCCCCTTTGTCGGGGCGTCCCCTCACTGCCACCCTGCCGGGGCTTCTGCTTCAATGTGGCCAATGGCTGTCTCCGAAACCAGGGACTGGATCCTGACTGGGAGGCCTATTTAGGTGAGGGGATTCAGGAGGGCTTGAGAGGGCTGTTTGTGTTTGGGATGCCTTGAGGTGGACTGTGGAGAGAGTTGTAAACCTTGTTGAGTTGAGAGACTGTTCTCATGTGAGGTTTCCCTATCCAACACCTTGTTCCTTCTCTCCAAGACCCAGGTTGGGATTTGTGGGAATATGATAGTTCCCTCATGACCCACTTTTTCTTCCTTCCTCTTCTTCAAGATGCTCTCCTGTTACTGGCTGAGAAGCTCCAGGGTTCTTTTTCTTTTGAGCTGGCAGCCCGATCCATTGGGGTGAAGATCTCCGAAGCTTTGATGTATCTGCAGGACAATAGTGTGGCAGTGTCAGCCCAGGTATGGGGGCCATGAGAAGAGTGGGAATGTCAGCCTGAGGAGAGGGGGGAGACAGTGTGGGGGTATCAGATGGAATACCAGAGAGATAAGTGGAGGTAAGGGCCTGAAGTGGGGAGACAGACTGGGGTGTCAGGGAGACCGGCATGTTGGGAGTGGGGACACTGTGGCTCTCACCGCCGGATGACTTGGCGGTGGGGGGGGGGTTCCTCTTCCTTGTGCCTTAGGTGTTTCAACAATGTGGGAACCCCGAACGGATACTGGCCCGGGCCCGCCGAGCCCCACCCCCGCAGGAAGAGGTGGGCCGCTTCTGGACCCCGCCGGCTGCGGGGGCGGCGGCGGCAGCACCGGCGGGGGCGGGGGCGGAGGAGGAGAGGCCCACGACGACAGCGAGCACCAGCATGAATCGCCTGGTGAGTGCGTGGCGGGAGGCGGCGGCGGGGGGGACCTGGGGGACGGGAAGTGGGGGGCGCGTGCTCCAGCCCAGCCACGCTCTCTGCTCGCCCAGGTGTGGGAGCTCCGCGAGCGGCTAGGCCGGGCGAGGGGCTTCTGGGCCGGGCTGCCCACGACGGTGTGCGGGGACCCCCGCATGGCGGCGGACATCTCTCAGGAGGCGGCACCCTGCTGGACCGGAGCTGGGCGGGGCCGGTGAGACCGGGCGTCGGCGGGCGGGCGGGGGGCGACTGCGGGTCGGCCGGGCCGGGCGGGAGCCTTCGGGGCTGCTCTGCCCGCAGGTACTTGTCGCCCGTGGTCGGGACCTCCCCGACCGAGCAGCTCGACAACCCAGAGATGGAGAAGGAAGACTCGGGCTCCGACCTCCAGACGCGGAGGCGGCGGCTGCAGCTCCGGGCGGCCACGACCAGGATGAAGGTGGCCGCGCTGGGACGCGACCTGGAACTGGAAGACTGGGGTGAGAGCCCCGGCGCCTCGGGGGCTTCGCCGCTCGCGCCTCTCTGCGGCCCGCCCCCGTCCCGCCCCCGCCCACTGCCTTCTGAGCCCCTCCCCTCGCATCTCCCCTGGGTTATTCTCTCTCTTCTCCTTTGAAAACTCGCTTACTGAACGCTTACCTCAAAGGCGAGGGGTAGAAGGCCGATGATAGGTCTCCCTCCTTGAGTCCACTCTTACAGAATAGGGGGGAGCCTCTGAGAGCCAACAAAAAAAGGCTATGGGTTGTTGGGGAGGGTGACCATCCTGAGGGAAGTGGGAAAGCCCAGTGCCGGGCCATTGGGTTGGCTCCCAAGATAGAGATTACCGGAGAAGCAAGGCACAGAGGGACGTTCATTTTTCTCTCCTACTGTTTGTCCATCTCTGTCTCTCATCGTCTCTCTTTCACCACCCCTCTACCTGTTGCTTCTGTGTGCATCTGTTGCCTTTTTCCACGTATTCTCTCTCCCCATCTTTCTCTGTTCTGTCTTATTGTCCCTTGTCTTTCATTCCTATATCTGTCTGATTTCTCTCCTTGCCTTCTTGTCACTTTCTCCCTTCTCCCAGCTTCCACCTATATACCTGTGTCTCTCTCTCCCCTCTCTTCTCGTCTGTTTTTAATCTCAAATTGTCTTCCCCCCTGTTTACATCTCTCTCTCTTTCTGACTCCTACTGCCTCTCTTTCCCAACCCTGTCTCTGATCCTCTCCTTCCTGCAGATGAGGACGCCAGCGGTTCTGGAGAGGGACAGCACTATGCAGATGACTGGATGGCTGGGGCAGCAGCTGTGGCACCCCCAGCCCGGCTGCCTCGCCCTCCTCGAAGGGATGTTAGTGGGGGCAGAGGAGGAGGTGTCCTTGTCCGCCACAACCAGGGCAGGAGCAGGACTGGGGGGACATCTGTTGGTTTTCACACCCAACCCATTCTCATTCTCTTCCTCTCAGCCCTGGCCCTGCTTGGACCAAGATAACAGGGGAGGGGTGCCCTAGCATCAGAAGGGTTCATGGTCCATCCCCTCCACCCCCTGCCGCTTGGCTGGATCTGGGGAGGAATCAAAGGGGGATGCAGACAGATAGAGAAAGGGACTTTTTGGGTGAATGGCTGGGGCCCCAAATCCAGATTACCATTGGTGGGTTGGGGGTAGGTGGGTGGGTGGGTGGTGTTCATGATATTTATTTTTTCATTTACAATCTGGGGAGGAGGGGCTGGGGCTATTTATTTAGGAAGGAGGTGTACTTTTCAACCTCAACCTTTATGTTGGGCCATTTGTCAGCCTCAAAAAGGAAAAAGGGAAGAATTTTAGAGTTGCAGTTGGGGATGGGATTTGAAGGAAGTTGGAAGTGGGGAGGGATGGGGCACCTGGTCTCAAAGGGATAAAGCTGGGTGCTGATGGGGTGCAGGGCAGGGGACTGGGGTGTATATGAATAGGATGTCAGGATCTGTGGGCTGTTTCTGTGTTTTCTCAGTATCAATTTCTTAAACTAAAATACCAAAAAGAAAAAAAAAGACTCATCTCATGATCTCTGTCATCCATATCCTTCACAAACTTCCACATTTCATATTTCAGTGTTGGATTCAGTATCTGTTCTACAAATAAACAGCTAATTTATTGGACCCTGTGTGTGACTCTGGACTTTTAGCATCCTTCCCTGAGCATGGCCACGTCCCTGGCAGTGACTTCTGACCTCTCCTGGAACCTGCCCCTGTCATTCAATTTGGGCAAGCTGTCTATTCTCTGGGTCTGAACCCCTTCATCTGTAAAATGGGGAGAATTGTGCAGCCTGGAGGCATCATTAATATTACCACACCACTGTCCCCTGCCATCAGGGTGGGGGCCCCTGTTCTCCGTGTGTCAACCCTGGAGCTACCTTGTCATGTCCTTGACAATGTCTGCTTTCTACTCGTTATTTTCTCTTTCCTTCTTTCTTTCTGTTGCCTGAATGAGTCTTCTGTTCTGCACAAAGCTGGGAGGAAAAGGTATAATTGATTCCCAAGTGTGAAAGGAGGGTAAAAGTGCTGTCTTCCAAGAGCGGGCTGGGTGCCCTGACAGAGAAGGAAGGATGCCGGCAGCGACCCAGAGACGCGATTAAAGCCCTAGCAGCTGCTGGGACTGGCGGGACAAAAGGAGGGAGGGGGAGGAGCCTGGGCGCGGAGCAAGTTTATGGGGAAAGTTAAGCGCAGCGCGCAGCCGGGCGGTGGCTGGGGCGGGCTGACGGGCCAGACCCCGATTTCCCTGCTGCTCCTCAGGGGGCCTGGTGAGTGGGCAAGTGACGCCGAGGCCGCGGCCAGTCGAGGGACTCTCGAATTGATGGGAGGAGACTTGGGGGTTTCATAGAGAAAACCCCGGAGCGGGCCAACAAAGGGCTGACGACAGACCGAGCCAATACCAGGGTGGAGGGGATAGAGGAGGGCTGGAATGGGGGTAATGGATGGATGAAAAGAACAGAAGTCTAGGTACAGGAGGGAGTCCGGTGCCAGGCTGGATCCTGGGGGCTGTGTTGGGGGAGGGAATTGGGGGGGGGGTAATGCCAGAGGGGGCGGGTCTCTAGGTAGCAAGTGCGGGTTCTCCTTGCCTGGGGTTACTCCTGGCTTGTCCCAGAAAGGGGCTGCCAGGGCTTGTTGGAGGGGCTGTGGCCCAGGGTTGTGGCTGTGATCTGAAGGGGTGGGTCCGGACTCCCAGTTGATTAGGAAGCCAGGGCCTGGGAAAGGACTCAGAAGCTCCGTGTTTATATCTTTCGGTATCTTTATGTCGCAGAGTTTTCTCTCTCCAGCTCCACCCTCTCAATCTCCCCTGGGTGCAGAGGGAGTTGGAAAGCAGGCATGGGTGTGTGTGTGGGGGGGGGTGTCCCGGGAGCTGAGCTTCACAAATAACCCCACATGTCCCCCAGCTCTTTACACACTGGGGTCTGCCCTGCACTGAGAGCGCTTTGGAAGGGGGACGAAATGCCTGAATTTTGACTCCTACTCATGACAAAGTCGCTTCTATAGTTGACCTCTCTAGGCTTAGTAGCCTGTGCCCTGACTGTCCCCCATTCCCTCCTTATGCCTGCCCCTCATGGCCTCAGAATGGGACTCTTCATCCCCATCTGCCACAGGCAAAGGAGCTCACTAGGAAGCCAGCCAGGGAAGCCTGGCCCGCCCATGTCTACCTCACTGGCACATGAACAGATTGGTCCTTCTCATAGGGTCTTTGCCTTTCTACCCTCCCCTTCTAAATCCCTGAGGCTCAGGTAGAAACTTCAGGTTGGGGCCAGGGAAGCAGAGGAGTAGTTGTGGGCCACCTGGAAGATCTGGGTGTGGAGACCACACACCCCTCCCCAAAGGCTCCCACTCCTGGAATGAGCTGCAGCAGCAGGAGAGAAGGCTCTACCCTCTCCTTAGACTCCCCTCCTTCCCCCCTCATTTCCCTTCTAGACGCTGACAGAGGCAAAAATCTGCTAACTCAGGGGGCAGACTCAACCAGGGCTACGAGCAGGCCTGGGGGATGACCCCCCGATCTCGAACCAGCGCCTTCCACGGCTGCACGGTTATCTCAAGCTGTCTGCCTCTGTGCCTGGCCCTCGCCCTGTCCCTTCGTTAGCGTCACCTTTACCTGTGCCACATGGGCCCTCTGTCTCCTACCAGGACCAGGCGCCTCTGGGGGCCTCGGAGCCTGGGGGTGGCTCTGGGAGTCTTCATGACCATCGGATTTGCCCTCCAGCTCTGGGGGGGGCCCTTCCAGAAGAGGTGAGTTCCTATCGTGTCCCAATGCCTGATAGATGCTCCCCATTAGCTCCTCCCCATGCCACCTAGGTCTGTGACTCTTGGGGACTCAGAGGAGGTTCCATGTCCTCTGTCCTTGCTCCAGATGCCCACCCACCTGCTGGTGAGAGACAGGAAAGTTCCTCTCCCATCTCTCCCCAGGCTACCAGGCCTGCAGCTCCGCCAGCCCTTGGCCCCATCCCTGAGATTGGCTGTATCATCCTGCCCACCCCGGCAGCGACTTGTGTTCCTGAAGACTCATAAATCTGGGAGCAGCTCTGTGCTGAATCTACTTCATCGCTACGGGGACCGACACGGGCTGCGATTTGCTCTCCCTGCCCGCTACCAGTTCGGCTACCCAAGGCTTTTCCAGGCCTCTAGGGTCAAAGGCTACCGCCCTCAGGGTGGAGGTACCAAGCCCCCCTTCCACATCCTTTGTCATCACATGAGGTTCAACCTGAAAGAGGTGAGAGGTGTGGGAGGGGGTGGGTGGGATTGGAGAGATGTGGGCTTAGGCTTGTGGCCAAGACCACCAGGGGAGGAGGCCCCAGGCCTGGGGATTCCCAGGCACCACTTCATCCAAAAGTTGGGCATAAGGGTCACAGAGATTCCTGTTCCCCTCTCCTCAGCCATCCCTTGCCTAGTAGTTCCTGGGAGCCAAAGTCCTGCCTTCTTCCATCTGGAACTTTCTAGCCTCTTTCCTTGACCAGTTTACCCCACTGGTATCAGTGCTCTGACAACTCTGACCACCCAACCCCCACCTCCATGCGTCTTGCTCTTCTTGGTCCCTTCTACTGACACTACCAGGTCCCCTGCTTGGCCACTGCCTTCTTACTATTTTCTGCCAGATGGAGAATCAGCTACATGCCAAGTCTACATACTAAGCCTTAGCCTGGTCCTGACCCCCTCCTCCCCAGTTCTAAAGGGGAAGATGTGTGCACTTATGTGCTCATCCACACACCCAGGAACCTGAGAGCTCTTGGGCAAACAAAATCAATGTGCAAATGAAAATATACAGGGAAGGAACTTTTACTGAATACTTGCTGATTCCTGGGTACTAATCTTACCATCACCTTGCCAGAAAGGCACTTAGAAGTGTCTCCATTACACATATGAAGAGGTCAAGTTTCAGAGAGGCTAAGTGACTGGCCTCCCCAACAGAAAGGAGCAGAGCTAGGATTTGAACGCAGGCCCATCTGCTCCCAAGTCAAAGCAACTTTCCTGGTATGTGTGCATTTGTATTTAGAGCTGTGGGGAGAATATTCACCAAAAAACATGGGGCTTTCTGGGGAAGTGGGTTTTAAGGAAAGGGTGGACACAACTTTGTAGTAAGAATATCAGCAAAGATGTGGTGGCGGCAGTGGTCGTGGTGTGTGTATGTGTGTGTCTGTGTGTGTAACAGGGGCAGGGGGATTGTATGTAGGTGGTAGAGTTTCAGCGGGGTCGGCAAAAATGTTCCTGTTAAGCTGGAGCTGGAGAAAGCAGATGAGGGTCATGAATAGGACCTCATGAGGAGTCACTTCTGGGAGTGAGGTGATGACAACAATCTTTCAGGCAGGTTTCTCTGTTTTTTTTTTGTTTTTGTTTTTGTTTTTGTTTTTTTACCTTTACCTTCATTGTCATCATCATTCACGGAGTAACTACAGTGTTCCATGCACTTCTGCATTCAAGGTAAGTGGTAACCCAGATTTATAAATGGAGGACAGTGGCTCTGAGAAGTTTGATAACTTGCCTAAAGTTACATAACTGATAAATGGCTGAACTGGGATTCTATTCCAGGTTCACCTGATGTCATAGGATGTTCTCTGCACTGTTCTCCCCTTCCTTCAAAGAGACACTCAGTTCATAGGCTCTGCTCTGCGGGCATGCCTGCATTAGCAGAGCAGATTGGAGGACATCATGTTTGGGGCATCAGGTTCAGTGACAAGCCATATTCAGAGGCAGAAACCCTTTGAGGAGTCCAGGAGTCGGGTTCTGCATCCTTGGGTGTGGCTCAGTCCAATCCTCACCTTTGTTTTTTTTTTTTTAAGATTTTATTTATTTATGAGAGAGAGAGAGAGAGAGAGAGAGGGAGGGAGGGAGAAGCAGGCTCCATGCAGAGAGCCTGATATGGGGACTCGACCCCGAGTCTCCAGGATCACGCCCTGGGCTGAAGGTGGCACTAAACCACTGAGCCACGCAGGCTGCCCCTCACCTTCCTTCTTGCTGAGAATTAGAATCATGTGTCCCAGGCCTCAGGTAGCATCCTACCAAGTGTCCATAACTCCCCAGTTCCCAGTTGAGGGGTGTCTTTTACTTTCCAAGATGCCTAGGAGCCCCAGAAGTACTCTGTCCTTTGGTCATGCTGAGCTTGGCCTGTCCACCTGATGCCTATACCTGAGAC